CAGCACATACGGAATCGGAAGCTGCACATGCCCTCTTCGAAGTGTTGGCGGAATGGCGTACGCCTCTTGAGAAAGGGCCCCTTAGTGCACGCAATGTTTGAGGACACCTTAGCTCTGGTCATGCGAGCGGTCCACTCACAGTGACGTGCTCCGACTCCATGCGCCTGTCCAGCGAAGACAGTTAATTACGTCAGAGTTCAAATCTATTGGTGGCCGTACAGAAATCATGAAAGACATACAGTGGATGCCAGTCCACAAGAAACCTTCAAGAAACCCAACCCTGAGACCCCAAGGCGTCCATTCAGTGTTGGTATGGGACCGTCACGATTGCCATCGAAAAACCATCGAAACCCAAGACACCCAGGGCACCCAGGAGGCAAGCAAGGTGTTTCTTGACATGGGAAACAGCGTGATCCACCGCCGCTTTACTATGGAAAATTCCCCCCCCCCTCTTCCTCCGGACACCGGGGGTCCCCCCCCTCCGAAAATCCCTTCCCCCTGCTGGACCCCCCCACCGCCCTTCCTCCCGGCCACCCCCCCCCAACCCCCCCTCCGCTCCAGAAAACCGGGGGGGGGTCACTACCAGTTCGAACCCCCCCCACCCCCCTCCAGAAAACCGGGAAGGGTCAGTTCGAACCCCTCCCCCCCCCCTTCCTCCAGAAAACCGAGAAGGGTCACTACCGGTTCGAAACCGAGGGGGGTCACTACCGGTTCGAACCCCCGTCCCCCTCCAGATAAGCAGGGGGGACCACCACTGAACACCCGTCCCCACCACTGTCCCCATGTCCCAACCAGTCCAGCTTTCCCATCACCACTGTCCCCACCACCACCGTCCCCACTACTGTCCGCACCACCGTCCCCCTGTCCCCGCACCACTGTCCCCACCACCACCGTTCCCACCACTGTTCCAATATCCCCACCACTGTCCAACTGTCCCGAGGATCGGGAATCGTTTGCCGGCGGCGAAGGGGGGAGGGGGAGGGGGAAGGATTCGAACGGGTAGTGACCCCCCCAGATTTCGAGGCGAGGGGGGGGGTTCGAACGGGTAGTGCCCCCCCCCCCTTTTCGTGATGGACTTGGGGGGGGGGAGGGAAGGGTTCGAACTGGTAGTGACCCCCCCGCCCCGGTTTTCGAGGGGGGTGGGTGGGAATGGATTGGACCACTCCCGCGCAGCCATCGTGCTATCATGAGAAACGCTGAAGAAGGAACGCATGGGCTCTCAGCCTCGGCCACGACGAAGCTTCCCGACCCAGATCTGAGGCAAGGCCAGAAAACCAGGGCCCACTCTGACCCCAAAGGGGTCTTTGTTTCTGCCTCTTGACTAGAAGAAGACAAACCGCCATCAGCATACTGTCGGCGCTACGCGCGGATCTCTTGGATCTGTGCTGGGCCCCCCTCCGTGGCGCGCGGAGCGCGCCAGGGGCGGCGCCGGAGGCGCCGCCGGATCCAAGAAATGCGGATCCAAGAAATGCGCGCGAAGCGCCAACAGTTTATGTGTGTTTTTTGTTATTCTTCTTCTTCGATTTTCTCGGGGGGCCAAAACCGTGTGGTGACAGACTGCCCGGCGACCGCCTGCTCTGCAGCCATCCGATAGGCCGCCGTCGTCGCCTCAGCGGCGGCGCTCTGGCGCCCGCCTGACTCCTCACCTGCGGCTGCCCTCCTCCTTGCCCTCGGGATCCCAAGACACCCCACCGCACGGCCCGCCACCGCACGGCCTTGGGATCCCCCGGAGGCCCCGGGAGCCCGACCGTCCTCGGAGAACGACCCGAGACTTAGGTCGGGCATGTGCTCCGACAGACGGACCTTGGAAGACAATACAGAGCATCACACAAAGACTCGAAAATAGTAGGGAAATCGTCTCCAGACTACTTTGTTTGAACTATTCTTGAATGTTCTTCCGACATGACCCGAGTCTCAAAACCATGCAATGACCCAGAATCCTCACCGACGCACCACACGCTGTGGCCACAAGCGTGCCGTCGCCTGCGCGGGGCGCTGCACCGGAGGCGCCCACGGCGCTATGGCGCACGCCGGCACGTGCGACGGGCGCTGCTTGCCCACCTCTGTCGAGCAGCGGGGGGCGCGGGGCTGTGGGAGGTCCACACTCCGTACAGCCGACCGCTCCGCAAGCGTGATGGGCCAACCGATTCTTCCCGCTGCGGCCATCACAGGATCTGCTGTTAACCGGTCTCCTATGCCTGGTGGTGTCTCTGTTGCTTCACCTCCAACTTTTACCAGCCTTCCTCCTCCTCCTCCTCCTCCTCCTCCTGGGTCGTCGTGCTATGGAACACGACTGAGACAGTCAGTGCCCCTTCGGATCCGCGCCGCGATGCAACCCGTCTCCGCTCTCTGCTCCTGCCCCGCCTTAGGATCCCTGCTCCTCCGCCTGCCCCGTTCTCGCCGACAATGCCGATGCTGCTCCCCCACGCACCCGCTTCCCAGCCCCCGCCTCATCCATGCGCGTCTGCTTGGTGCTTGCTTTTTGCTTCTCTCTTCCTTTCTCTTTCTCAGTTGTTGTTGGTGTTGTTGCTGCTGCTGTTGTTGTTGTTGCTGGTGTTGCTGTTGGTGTTGTTGTAAGTGTGGTTGTTGTTGTTGCTGCTGCTGCTGTTGAACATTATTTATTCTAAAGAATAATTATTGTTGGGCCCCCTGGTGCGCGCCCCCCCTGCGCCGCCTAGGCCGCAGCTACATTTTCATCATTTTCGTGAGGAAGCCTCAGAAAAGAGGGTGTGTACAGGATCCGGTTGTTTTGTTGTAATCCGCTTTCCCTTGCAAAAAACAATAGAAAATGACATTTCTTGTTCTAATATAATCAAATTTCAAGAATCCCTTGCAAAAAATAAGGTAAAGTGGACATTCGCGCGCGCAAGACGAAATCCTTCCAAAACCTTAGTGTTCGCAGCGATTTTAACATAAAAACATCAAAAAACCAATGGTTTTTCAACAAAAAATTGTCAAAATCTCATCCCGCGCGCTCTTGCGGATTCGTAGGAAACCCAACACTTTTTAAACATTTCTGTCAAACGGGCTTTTGCGAGCAACTTTTTCGAACTTCTGCGACAACGGTTGCGCACCTGCCAGGGCCATCATCCCTGTCAAATAATACCATGCGGGACACATTCGTTTTTTCTTCGCGCGCGCACGCCGAAATCTCCAAAAACCATTGGGCTTCTTAAGAATTTTAGCACCGCGCATCATAAAATCACACGAATCGCACCGTAGGTCCTCGAAAAACACCTGCACGACTTTTCAAAATTTCTACCCGCGCGCGCTGTCCGAATCCTAAAAAAACCAATGGTTTTCCAACATTTATGTTACATGAGCTCGGGACAAACAACATCGGAACACAACCATCGGGACAATCATCGGGACAGTCATCGGGACAACGATCGGGACAAGCACAACCATCAGGACAACCATCGGGACAATCATCGGGACAACGATCGGGACAACCACAACCATCAGGACAACCATCGGGACAACCATCGAGACAACCATCGGGACAACCATATCCTCTCTCTCTTGTGTATTCCCACATCCCTCAGGAATTTGCCCTAAAGATGTGATCAACTATCTTGTGAGTACGTATCATGTGTATCATGTGTATCATGTACCATATGCATCATATGCAACAGATGTTCTGTGGAAGGCTTAACAACTTCTGTGGGTTAACAAGGCTTAACAACTTCTGTGGGTGTACGAACGTAGGCTTAACAACTTCTGTGGGTGTGTACTCCACGCCAGTGTAGTAGCCACGGTCGTCCGCAGGCCACGAAGTGAAGTGTCCGAACGTCATAGGGCGGGAAGCTGGGTGTGGGTGGTGGCGAAGAGTCGTGTGGATATTTGGTAGAGCTTGCACTGCCCCCCCACAAAGTGGGGGTATTGGCTGGCGTCGCATGAAAACCCTGGCACTGGTGAGAACACTGAGCGTTCGGGTAAAGTGATTGTTGTTGTTGTTGGTGTTGCTGTTGTTGTTGTTGTTGTTGTTGTTGTTGTTGTTGTTGTTGTTGTCATTGTTGTTGTTGGTGGTGGTGTTCTTGTTGTTGCTGTTGTTGCTACGTCTCTCTCTCTCTCTCTCTCTCCTCCTCCCTTGTACCCCTCCTGCGGTTCATGACCCTGCCGCTCACGCTGCTGCCAACTCTCCGCCTTCGGCCTCCACGTCCTGCCCCTCGCGTATTTCAAGTGCGGGTCTAAACACATCGATGCAGGAGGAGGAGGATCAGGAGGAGGAGGATCAGGAGGAGGAGAGGGAAAGAGGAAAAGAGGGAGGAGGACGAGGAGGAGGAAGAAGAAGAGGAGGAAGAGGAGGAGGAGAGGGAGGAGGATGAGAAGGAGGACGACGAGGAGGTAGGAGAGAGTGAAAGAGGCAGAGAGGGAGGAGGACGAGGAGGAGGACAAGGAGGAGGAGGAGGACGAGGAGGAGGAGGAGGAGGAGGACGATAAGGAGGAGGAGTTGCAAGAGGAGGAGGTCCGCCCTCCTCAGCATGCCCTCCCCTTCCCCCATTCCAGACGAGGGGGCACGTGCCAACGCGGGCCCTGCTTGGCAGCCACCGGGCAAGCGAGGTCAGCGCCCCGAGGGCATCGCGGAATCTGGACGGATGCGCGCGTACAATCACCCAAACAGGATCGCGTCGTACAAAAAATCAGGACGGGAAGTTTTTCGCCAATTTCGGCCTCGGGGGGCCTTCGCCGGGCCCCGGGACCGTCACAAAAACGACTCAGGATGAAAAGCCGACCACGGGGAAAGGGTCTGGACTTCTGGGGACGCCGTCCTGAACAAATCAGGACGTCGCATGTCTGGGCATGACACTGCCAGAAGGAGCGCCAAATAAGGACAGAGGTGCTTTCCTGGCCTGGCCACGGCGGACCTCGTCCTGGAACAGGTTCCCCGACCTGGACCCGAGGAGCGGCCGGAAGCCAGCGCCCCTCCTGAGCCCAAAGCGGTCCTCAAGTCAGCCCCTTGACTGACCTCGCTCTTTCGCCAGTCGGCGCCTGGTCCCGACTTCGCAGTGGCGGCTGGCAGTCTCACGCGCGCTGAAACGTCAGTGCGGCTGCGCAGCGGGGTGGCTTGCTCGGGAAGAACGACACAAGGCGTGCAGCGTAGAAGAGGCGGAAAGCCGCCAACCCCCCCCCTGCTCCTCCTCCTCCTCCTCCTCCTCCTCCTCCTCCTCCTCCTCCTCCTCCTCCTCCTCCTGCTCCCTCTCTTGCTACTGCTGCCGCTCATGCTCTGGTTCATCCTCCTGGCCTCCTGCGCCTCCTGGTCTTTTGCTTGTCTCCTTTCCTGGTTCTCCCCTCGCTCCTGCTGCTGCTTGCGCTGGTGCTACTACTCCCTCCTGCTCCTCTTGCTCATCCTACCGCTTCTGCCGAGGTTATCGCTCGGTGGTTGCCGCAAGCTTGGACGTCGCCGGGCCGAGGGCGTCCAGAAGCTCCGAATGCTCCCGAAATATGACTATGACACCGGACAAAATATCTGATGCTTGTTGGGGCTATGGGGCTGTAGGGCTATAAAGTTATAAGGTTATGAGGCTATAGGGCTACAGGGCTATAAGGCCATAGGGCTATAAGGCTGTAGCGCTATAGGGCTATAGGGCTATGGGGCTATTGGGCCATTGGGCTATAGGGTAATGGGCCCCTCAAACAGGAGGGCTATAGGGCTATAGGGCAAGCTATTGGGCAAAATGCTATTGGGTTATTGGGCACCCTGGGCACCCGGGCCCGGCCACCGAAATCGGCCACGCACCTCACCGGCCACCCGGTCACCCGGGCACCGCCGGGCACCCGGGCACCCGGGCCCGGCCACCGAAATCGGCGACTCACCTCACCTAAACCTTTAATCCGTTAGCACCCCTACGGAGGCAAGCTCTGACTCGGGAGTAATAATCCATTGACACAACGTGCTATTGATACGTTCCGGGGTGTCTACTCTGGCTGCCGCCGCTGGTCGGTCACACATTCGCAATCGAGTGGTCGCCCGCAGGGGGGCTATTGGCACGAGCTGATCCCCTTTCTCGTTGCCGAGCGCGGGGGGCACGGTGGCGCACCGCCCCGTCGCCCGCCGCCGCGCACCGCGCGCCTCGGCGGATTCTCCAAAAAAACCTGGCAAGGCAAATCACGCGCGACTCTGGGAAATTCGCAGGGGGTGAACTTGAAAAAAATCCGCCGACCCTGTCGGCGTGTGTGAGGGGCTTTTCCGTTCGAGCCGTCATCTCCGTTATTCTTTGTACTCGTCGTCTCTGTCCTGCGCGCCAGCCGCCCGAGCCGCTCGAGCCAAGCCGACCTTGAGCAACGTCGTAATTCAGTCGAAGGGAAGCCCCTTCCCTTTGATCCCTTCCCCGCCGGGAGGGGGGGGGGGGGGTAGCGACCCCCCCCCCGGGTCAGATACGACGCCCCCCCCCCGTACCGACCTTGAGCAACGTCGTAATTCAGTCGAAGGGAAGCCCCTTCCCTTTGATCCCTCCCCCGCCGGGAGGGGGGGGGGGTAGCGACCCCCCCCCCGGGTCAGATACGACGCCCCCCCCCCCGTACCGACCTTGACCAACGTCGTAATTGAGTCGAAGGGAAGTCCCTTCCCTTTCCCTTCTCCAACGGGAAGGGGAGGGGGGGTCCCGGGGGGGGTCCCAGGGGAGTCCCGGGGAAGTCCCGGGTCAGATGCGACACCTCCCTCCCCCACCTTCTCGTCCTTCTCCCCGTTCCCCACAACCATCCCACAGCCCGTGCCTCTTGCTGCGCATTGCGAACAGGGTCGGCGGCACCGGCCGTAAGGCCTTCGCAATCCGGGGACGTTTTTGAGGATGTCCAGCTTCATTTTTGAAGAATACCAGCGGCCAGCTGATTCACGCACCGCGCCGCGCGCGATTGGGCGCAGCGTGCGCCGCGCGGTGCGCCCGCGAACAGCACTCGAAGGGGTTACCTCGAAAACAGCGCCACGGCAGCTGCGACTCGCGGACTCCCCAAGAGCAACGCAGCATGCAGCTTAGAATCTCCGAGGGTGCTCCGATGGGCGACAAATGCACCGCGCACCTCACGCAAAGAACCTGCGCGACGGAATGCGCTCGACCATTCGTCCCTGGAGCCCGCGCGGAAGAACAGGAAACCTGGAAATCTGGAAAACTATCAATACCAATACTTCATGCTCCTCTGATGAAAGGCCTCCAAGCCTGACATCCGACGTCACGAAAACCATCAACATTTGGGAAATCGTGACTGGAATCCTCGACACCATCTTTGTGCGGCATGTATCGAGCCCGATCGATTCAGGGCCCCGGGGACCTCAGCCAAGCGAGAACGCCGGCAGTGAACAAATTGCAACGCCGGACCTGAGGGCACCTGCACCCCTTGCGCTCCTCCTCCTCCTCCTCCTCCTCCTCCTCCTCCTCCTCCTCCTCCTCCTCGTCCTCCTCCTCCTCCTCCTCCTCCTCCTCCTCCTCCTCCTCCTCCTCCTCCTCCTCCTCCTCCTCCTCCTCCTCCTCCCCCACTCCTGCCCTCTACTGCCCTCTTCTCAGCCCTGCCCGAGCATGCTTCGCACCTTGCGCCTGTGCGGCCGCTGATGCCGCAGCATGGCACCTGCGGTCCGCGGGGCCGATCCTCGCCAAGCCCTGTGCGACAAAGCACCGTCGTCTGATCGAGGATAGAGGAAGGAAGATCGAGGATCCAAGTTTTTGGATGTATCTGTGCGGTTCTGGCCCTTTGTGAGGAGCCTCCAGGGGACCTTCAGAACTCCCCGCCGATACCGAGGATCCAAGTTTTGGGATGCTTCTGCGCGCTTCCGGCCCTCTGTGAGGGGCATCCGGGGGCCTCCAGGGAACCTCCAGAGCTCCCCACCCGCCCAGACCTCCCGAGACCCCCCCAGAGACCCCGGGTCACCAGACTGCGAAGACTGCGCAGCGAAGGGCCTGTGGGCCCCAGCGTTTGCCATGATGACCTCTTCGGGGGCGGCTTCAGGGTGCCAGAACTGCGCCCCGAGCTGGCTCTAGAATGCCTGCCTTACACAACTATCGCCTGTCCCGCTGTCAAGAAAACAGGTTTCGAGAAGAGCCTGGCTGGGATCTCGAACTTATCATCCTGTTCATATCATTATTCGACCCCCGACAGAGCTGGTCGTGTGTGGACACGTGAACAATCAGTTCCTGGCCATTTACCCGTGCCTTCCCGCTCGAGCAGCGCAGCCGCTCCTCGGCCGACGTGCTGGTCGGGCTCGCGTGGCTGCCACATCCGCAGGTCTCCGAAAACGGGGGCGTTCAGAATCCATGACCCTCGACTTGAAACTCGATCCTCGAACGACGAAGACGACGAGAGCACGGCCTGCCCAGCAGAGCGCGCGCGGTGGAGGGGTTGCGGGGACCGCCCTCGGTAGCGATACGGGGCATCCAGAGAAGATGTCCTCTCTCGGGGGGCGTGTCTTGCTTCCGCTGGCTCCCGACAGCTTTTTCCGCCCCCTTCCAACTTGGACGCTCAAATCCCACCAGCCCTCTGGGCTTAGGTGGTTTAACGAATCTTGTTTTCACTCTTTCCGCACCCCCTCCTTCCCCTGCCCGGGGGAGGGGGTTTATAATTGTTCCCTATTAATCTACACCCCCTCCCCCAGGCGACCGGCAGTCAACCAGGAACAATGAGGACACCATCAGGCCCTCCCCCCCCATCCCTGTCAGCAAAACAATACAAACACACTCTGCCTCCACATTTGGAGCAAGCGCGGCCAACCGGATGCGGCCCCCACAACCATCCCCGTGAAAAAACAATACAAAGAACACTGTTGAGCAAAGTCTGGAGCCATGTTCGTGAGGCCCGCGAGCACTTTGTGTGTGTGTGTGTATGTGTGTGTGTGTGTTTTGTTTGACCGGAATGGCGGGGGTCTCAGCATATTGCCTGCTGCACGCAGGGCTACCATCCCTGACAAAAGAGCAATACAAGATGCACCTCGCGGTTAAATCTGGATCATGCGCGACCGCTGTGCGCAGGCCCACCAGACACAATTATGGGCATTAGTTTTCGACGCGGGTGGTGGGGGCCGACATATTTCCCGATGTGTACTGTCACGTGCGCAGGCACACCTGACGCACTCTGCACGTGCCCCGAACGTGGCGCATCTGGCGCGGCTGGCGTATGCGGCATACCTGGCGCACGCGGAGCACGTGGCGCATCTGGCGCACCAGGCGTGCCTGGCACGCTCGTGCCATAGGGAAGCCTGGCACGCGTGGCGCACCTCTCCCCAGCGTCGCGCAGATGGGGTCGGGGTTGGATCCCAATAGCTGCCCATCCAAAGACGACCGCTGAACATGCTGAGGCTCGGGTGTTACTTGAGTGTTGGGGGGGGCGGGTGGGAGTGAGCTAAACGGCTTGCTATCTAGGGTGTGTCTTGATTGCTGTCCCTTATTGATATACACCCCCTCCCCTTGGCGACCGGAACCAACCAGGCACCATGTCGACACCATGCCGCCTCCCACCATTCCAATCAAAAAACAATGCAAACCGCACTATGCCTCCACATGTGGAGCATGCGCGGCCAACCCGATGAGGCCCCCCACCATCCCTGTCAAAAAACTATGCAAAGTACACTTTGGGGCAAAGTATTGAGTCATGTGCGTGAGGCCTACGAGCACTTCGTATTGTTTTTGACAAGGACGGCAGGGGTGTCAGCCTGGTTCTTCCCTGCTGTGCGCAGGGCTACCATCTCTGACAAAAAACAATACAACATGCACCTCGCGGCTAAATCTGGATCATGTGCGGCCATCCCGCGATCACTGTCAAGTGATTTTCGACAGGGACGGCGGGGGTGGTGGCGCGTGGCCTGCTTTGCGCATGCCCACCAGACAGAATGATGAGCATTGGTGTTCGACAAGGATGGCGGGGGGCCGACATGATTCCCGATGCGTGCTGTCACGTGCGCAGGCGCACCTGACACACTCTGCACGTGCCCCGAACGTGGCGCATCTGGCGCGGCTGGCGTATGCGGCACACCTGGCGCACGCGGAGCACGTGGCGCATCTGGCGCACCAGGCGTGCCTGGCACGCTCGTGCCCTAGGGAAGCCTGGCACGCGTGGCGCACCTCGCCCCAGCGTCGCGCAGATGGGGTCGGGGTTGGATCCCAATAGCTGCCCATCCAAAGACGACCGCTGAACATGCTGAGGCTCGGGTGTTACTTGTGTTGGGAGGGGCGGGTGGGAGTGAGCTAAACGGCTTGCTATCTAGGGTGTGTCTTGATTGCTGTCCCTTATTGATATACACCCCCTCCCCTTGGCGACCGGAACCAACCAGGCACCATGTCGACACCATGCCGCCTCCCACCATTCCAATCAAAAAACAATGCAAACCGCACTATGCCTCCACATGTGGAGCATGCGCGGCCAACCCGATGAGGCCCCCCACCATCCCTGTCAAAAAACTATACAAAGTACACTTTGGGGCAAAGTATTGAGTCATGTGCGTGAGGCCTGCGAGCACTTCGTATTGTTTTTGACAAGGACGGCAGGGGTGTCAGCCTGGTTCTTCCCTGCTGTGCGCAGGGCTACCATCTCTGACAAAAAACAATACAACATGCACCTCGCGGCTAAATCTGGATCATGTGCGGCCATCCCGCGATCACTGTCAAGTGATTTTCGACAGGGACGGCGGGGGTGGTGGCGCGTGGCCTGCTTTGCGCAGGCCCACCAGACAGAATGATGAGAATTGGTGTTCGACAAGGATGGCGGGGGGCCGACATGATTCCCGATGCGTGCTGTCACGTGTTCAGGCGCACCTGACACACTCTGCACGTGCCCTGAACGTGGCGCATCTGGCGCGGCTGGCGTATGCGGCACACCTGGCGCACGCGGAGCACGTGGCGCATCTGGCGCACCAGGCGTGCCTGGCACGCTCGTGCCCTAGGGGTGCCCTAGGCGCGAGTGTCGCCCTAGGCGCGCGTGGCGCCCCTGGCACGCGTGGCGCACCTCGCCCAAACGTCGCGCACCTGGGGTCAGCTTTGGTTCCCAGAAGCTGCCCATCCAAAGACGACCGCTGAACATGCTCAGGCTCGGGTGTTACTGATTTGTAGGGAGGGCAGGTGGGAGTGAGCTAGACGGCTTGCGGGCGGGTGGGTAGCTTGAAGCTTGACCCCTCCCCCTACCCCCTCCCCTGGGCCTGGGATGGGGCGGGCGCGAGGCATTAGAGCGCCCAAGATGGCCCAAGATGGCTCCAAGAAGGCCTCAGAGAGCCTAAGATGGCCTCCAAGAGGGCTCAAGAGAGCTGAAGATGGCTCAAGGTAGCCTCCCACATACATCGAAGACGGCCCAAGACGGTCCCGAGATGGTTTCAAGTGCCCTCCGGGCCCTCCAAGCATCCCCCCAAGCGGCAAACGTTGCTCCAAAACCAAAGTAAAGCAATGAATTGTGCGTTCTGGCCTTTTCGCTTCTGATGGGCTTCCGAGGCCTCAAGATGGCCCCAAGACTGCCCAAGAGAACCCCAAGAGGAGCCCAAAAGGGCTCCAAGAGGGCCCCAAGAGCACCCCAAGAGCACCCCAAGAGTGCCCCAAGAGTGCCCCAAGAAGGCCACCAGACGCAATCTTTGGAGCCTCTGAGGGGGGGACCTGAATTGAGGATCCCCCCCCTTTTGAGCTACGGGGGCCAAGACGGCCCCAAGAGATCTCTCAGACCCGCCCAAAGGGCCCAAAGAAGGCCCCAAGATGGCCCCCAAAGAGCCTCAAGAGGTCCCCAACAGGGCCTCGAAAGGACCTTCAAAGAGCCCCAAGATGGCTCCAACGGCGGACCCGTCCTCGTTTTGCTCCCGCCTACTTCCGCTGGCTTATGTTGCATCCTCGGGGGACCTTATCTGACCCGTCGCGGCCCTATCCACGTCGATTCCGTGTCGAATCCACGTCGGCCTCGTCGGATCCGTGTCGAATCCGCGTCGAATCACGCCAAACCCGCCTCGAGTCCGCATCGAGCCCGCGTCGGGCACGAGAAAAGACACCAATTTGGCGGCAGACGAGGTTTCCCGAAAATGCAAGCTATGATCCGCTGGCTTCCGACCCCTTCCAAAGGCGGAGCCGTCCTCGTTTTGCTCCCGCCGGCTTCCACTGGCCTTGTGACACCTCCCGCCAAATTGAAAATTAAACTACCCTCAAAGACGCACTGACCCGGGTCAATGCAACCTCGGCCCAATCGGGCTTTGCAAGATCCTGCAGGATCCTGCACCCAAGCCCGGGTCAATGCGACCCTGGCCCTGCAGGATCCTGCAAAATCCGGCGCTCCGACTGACCCCCGTCTGCATTGACCCCCGTCTCTTGAGCCCCGAGAGCCGTCCTCGTTTTGCTCCCGCCGGCTTCCACTGGCCTGTCGACACCTCTCGCCAGAGCAGAGCAAAAAAATCTTCGACCCCTCGAGGCCCGGGCCCTTCCTTCGGAGAAGGACGCCGCCTAAGGCACCGCACCGACATCCAGGCCGGGCCCATCCTCGGGGAATGGTGCACACGCCAGGAGGGCGCACATTAAGACGAAGCCAAGACAAGAACAACATCGGGTGAAGATAATAGAGGCCTCCCACATGGGGTCGGCGTAAATTGGGTATGAGGATCGCGCCGCATCGCCGATACATTGACGATGCGTCAGCGATGTATCGGCGATGCATCGGCGATGCACAGGGATGCATCGGCGACGTCGGCGGTGCGTCAGCGACGTCAGCGTGGAGAAAATGGAACTCAACATCGAACCGCATCGCCGATGCATCGGCAATGCAGCGCGATCCTCAGACCCCATGTACTCCGACCCCATCCGGGAAGCCTGGAGCCATGACGAGGCTAAAATCTGGTGAGGATAAATCGAGAATCTCTAGGATCTGGCGGCTCCGGAGAATGCCTGGGGCGCCGCGGCCTTCTCAGAGCGTCCCGGAACGCTGGAACTGATTCATCCTCTTCCGAGCTCCGTCCGAAGTGTACACGCCAGGAGGGCGCATACACCGATCCAGGGCCGATGAGGGGCAACGATAGGGGGGGACTGGCATAGGGGGGGATGCATCGACCTGGAATCGGCGATACATCGCCGATGGATCGGCGATAGGCCTCCGATAGTGGATCCTCACCTTACTGGGCAGGACGGGGCCATCGGGCCCCAGTCTGCGCTCTGCGCTGCCTGCGCGCCCTGCGCTGCCCTGCGCTGCACTGCACTGCGCTGCCTGCGCTTCCTGCGCTGCCCCGTGCGCTCGCCAGTCTTGTCCCAGGGAAGCGCGTGCTCCAGGCTGCGCGATTCGGGAGGTCGGGCGAGAGTTTCAGAAGAAGAGAAAACGTCCTCCTCCACCTCTTCCTTCTCCTCCTCCTGCTTGAGTTGTCACCAGCCATTCTCCCACAGATGGCGTGCGCGGTCTCTCATGTGGTGGAGCCTGTTGAGGCCAAAAAACTCCTCCTCCTCCTCCTCCTCCTCCCCCTCCTCCTCCTCCTCCTCCTCCTCCTCCTCCTCCTCCTTCTCCTGCCCCTGTTGCTCCTCCTGCTTCGCCTGCTCTTGATGCTCCTCCTCCTGCTCCTCCTCCCCCTCCCCCAAAGAAGAAAGAACGCCATTAGAGCATAAACATCTGGCGCTCCGCGCGGATCCCTTGGACCGGCGCTGGACCCCCCTCCCTGGCGCGCAGAGCGCGCCAGGGGCGGCGCTGGAGGCGCCGCCAGGGGGGCCCCAGCACTCGAGAAAGGAGGGGCGGAAACGACGAGAGGCAGGAGGACGAGCGACGAGGAGGGAGAGTCAGGGGGAAGATGAAGGTGAGCGTCTTCTTGTTCGCCGTTTCGACATTGGGCGGGAGGGGAGGGAGAGGTGGGGGGCTCTGGTGCCAGACCTCTGCTGAGTGCGGCTGTGTGCAACAGTGCGTCCTGTGGGGGAGAAGCCACCTGCTTGAAACAGGCGCCAGGAAACAGCCAAGATCTACTCCAGGGGGGGGGAGGGGGAGTGGGTGCGAGGGCAAGCGCCCATCGGCAAAACAATGAATGAGAAAACGACCACAAGAGGGGGCGGGAAGAGGATTGTTTGGGGCTGGTTGGGCCGACAGCATGGGCTGGACTTTCGCTCACGTTCACCCGCCGTCCTTGCCACGACAACTCGGCTGGGAATCGCTTCTGGTTGGGCTGGTGGGCAGACTCCAAGTGCCGAGAGTTCTGAGACTCCAAGATGGCTCCAACAAGCGTTGCCTCTCTGGGCTCCAACAGGGCCACTGCTACCAAGAAAGCTCACACGTCTCAGAAGGGGGCCCCAAGACGGCCACAATAGATCCCCCAGAGGCCCCAAGGAGATCGGAATTGCGGCTCGAACGAAGCGTGGCGCCTCGAATAATAAGACAGATCAGGAAAGACGCCTGGAGAAGAGTACGGTGCCCTTTACCTGCGCATCTTCTGAACCTCCACCATTGCCAGCGCAATTGAATCGAATTTGGCATGGAGGAGAAAATTCAGAGGGGAACGGGTCCTGGACCCAGAGGGCTCTGCCTACGACCAAAGTTTCATCCCCAGGGGCTTAGGGAGGTTCCCAAGAGTCCGAACACTTTTTGCGTCGGCGGCTAGGCAGGGGTGGTCTGCGCTGGCGAAGAGCGGATTGTGCCACCATGCAGGGAGAGGGGGGAAAGACAGAAGAAACGGCCTAAGGAGAGGGGAGAGGAGGAAGTGTCCGAACACACGGAACAAAACCTCCAGCAACCGTTTCCCCCCCGAACTCTGCACCTTCGTGCCGAGGAGAAGCGCGCGGTGCCCTTTGCCTGCGGACCTGCCCGACAGCCACCATAGTCAGCCGGCGCAAGCTGGCCGGACGTGGCTCCCGATCAGGCTGGCCGGCACAGCACCGCGGACTGGCCACTCACCGAGAGACTCGGAGGCTAAGAAACTGAGCTGCATCCACCCTCTGGGAGACGCTGCTGCGAAAATGTGCGGCCACGATGGGCCCACGCGAGTGTCACCAGCCTCTGGCTCATGCCTTCCCCTACGATTGACAAGCCCAAGGAGGTGACTATCTTAGAAATGTGCCCTCAAAAAGGGAGGGAACCTCTAAGAACGGCACCGAGATAAGGTGATGGCAGTCATAGGGATAGGGAAATGCTGAAGGCTGCTCAGAAAGGTCTAACAAACATGGGATGTATGGAACAGTGGCCAGCCAAGCCCAGCACTCAGGCCCATGGGCGTCTTATACCTACCCCTCGATCTAATTTCTAGCCTCCAGGCCCCAATTTCCAGCTCCCAGGTCCCAAGACCGGGCCTGCCCAACCTCTCAGTGCGAAAAATTAGCACCATCGACTCACTTGGCCTTGCCTCTCTTCTTAGGCGGTTCTACCAACGCCTGGCCGCGTGGCTCCGAGCCGGGATACCTCTGAACGAAGGCGGCGACGTTGAACTTCCTGGTGAGGTCATAAGAACCCCTGCCAAACAAACGTAAGTGTAATGGCTCATGCGTTCCTTCATTTTTCCTCGGGCTCGTGAAAACCAAGTGCTTTCATGTTGGTCAGCTCCTGCAGTGGGTACGGATGATGAAGCATTTTCTTATCGCAAAAGTCCGCTTGCACCCCGCGTAGTTCATGTAGCGGATCTTCCCAAAGACCCCCCTCTCCGCCCAGCCCTGGTCGTGCACGCCGCAGATGCTCCACATACACCCGACGTATCCGTTGGGGTCGCGACCATCCAGTTCGTAACGGTCGTTGATAGAAGAACAAAAAACAACATGAACACCAGAGGTGGTAGGTCCACGTGGCTTTCTTGTGCAGGTGCTGGAGCACCCTGTCATGGCGCGCGGAACGCGCCGGCGGCGGTGCCAGAAGCGCCGCCAGGGAGGTCCAGCGCCGCCCAGGGTGCGCGGACCTACGACAGCATGTTTTGTGTTGCCGTTGGTTCTTCCTGCTGAGCCTGATCGCAATCGCCAGCGCATCCCGGGGACTGGCTGTCCACTCCAGAATCTTTTCGGCGGCGAGCCCGGGGGGGAAGCGAGAAGGGGCGGGCCTTCTCAGAAAGCTCGGAAGCCCCGGAGCCTTCTGAAAAGTGTTCTAAGCCTTCCTCAAAGACACAGGAAACCTCCTATAAGGCTGGAGGCCTTCTGAGAAGCCCACCCGCCTTCTGAGAAGGCCCTGTCCTTCTCACTTCCCCCCTCGCTCGCAGCCGATCTTTTTCGCCCAGTACATCCGCAGGAACCCGTGCATCTTGCCCTCTCGGACCATCTGCAGCTGGGCCGCGTTCCTTGGGTTTTTCCCCGCGGGGCTCTCCGACGAGGCCCCGGGGGGGGGGGTCGCACTACCTCCCTCGGGTCGGACGACCAAGGGGGCTCACGGCTCACCAGTAAGAGAGGGGGAGCGACTCCGCTCACGTAGCCGATTCTCCCAGCGCCGGGACGTCCATGGATTTTTGGGGCGGGAGCGCCAAGCTTCCCATCGCAAGGCCGTCGAAGCCCGCGAAACCCGGGGCACCCTGGAGGCAAGCAGGGCGTCTTCCGGCAGGGGCCCCCCACTGCGTGGGCACCTTCTCCTCTGAGGCGCCTCCCCCGCGCGGGGGGGGCGCCCATGATCGGCGGCGGGCGGGGCGGGCTGGGGGCGCCGCGGTCCCCCCCTCCGAGAGGCCCTCGCGCGCGGGGGGGGGGGGGGGGCTGGCCGTCGGCTCCGCCAGAGGGTCAGGTCGGGCATGTCCTCCTACAGGCGGATTATTTTGGTTGTTTCTATAGCAACGCAGTAAGTCCAAAGAGTCCCACCAGCCCTCTGGGCGCAGGTGGTCTAACGAGATTCCTCTTCCCTCTTCCAAAGAAAAGCCTCTTCTCCTACGGGGAGGGGTGAATCACTGTTCCCTAATAATAAACACCCCATCTCCCAGGCGACTGGTAGCCAACCCAGAACCATGCGGGCCCCCTCACCATCCCTTGTAAAAGAAACCATACAAAACACACTCTGCCTCCAAATTCGGAGCGTGCGCAGCCAACCCGACGCGGCCTCCCCACACCATCCCTGTCAAAAACCAATACAGAGTACACTTGGCGGCGGCGGCGGCTGCGGCGGCTGCGGCGGCGGCGGCGGCGGCTGCGGCGGCTGCGGCGGCGGCGGCAGCGGCGGCGGCGGCGGCGGCGGCGGCGGCGGCGGCGGTGGCGGGCGGTGCGGCGGCGGCGGCTGGCGGTGGCGGCAGCGGCTGCGGCGCAGCGCGCGACGGCGATTTGGCAGCGGGGGCGGCGGCGGCGGTGGCGGCGACGGCGGCGGCGGCGGCGCGGCGGCGGCGGCGGCGGGCGGCGGGCGGCGGCGGCGGCTGCGGCTGCGGCGGCGGCGGCGGCGGCTTGGCCCCCAGTAGCTGCCCATCCAAAGACGACTGCTGAATACGCTGAGGCTGGGGCCAGACTCGGGTGCTACGTATGTGTTGGGAGGGCGGTTGGGAGTGAGAGAGACGGCTTGCGGGCGGGGAGCGAGTCTTGACCCCTCCCCCTACCCCCTCCCCTGGACTTTTTTGGGGGGTTCCGCGAGGTGTCAGGGCGTTCCAAAGGGCCTCGGCGAGGAAACTAACATCATTTGTTGTACAAAGGTTTTGGCCCCATTTTGGCCTCTTTGGGGGAGGGCTGAACGTTACACCATCTCCTCCTTTGATCGATGGCCTTCAAGATGGCCCCAAGAGGCCTTCCAGAGCTCCCAAGAGGGCCCCAAGAGAGCCCCAAGAAGGCCCAAAGAGGGCCCCGAGACCCGTGAAAGAGACCCAAGAAAACCCCCTCCCAAAGAGCCCCAGGAGAGCGCCCGGAGGTGATTTTGAGGGCTCCTGGGAAGGGACCGAAATCGAGAACACCCCCATCTTTTGATCGATGCTCTCCTAAGTGGCCCCAACAGGCCTTCCAGGGATCCGGTCGCAACACCAGCAGAGGCAGCAACAACATCAGCAGCATCACAGGCAGCAGCAGCGCCAGCTGACGGCTGAGAAATCCCACCAGCCCTTTGGGCGACAGGTGGTCTGAGGGATAATGAAGAAGACATAGAGCGGAAGCACCTGGCAATATGCTGTGGGTTGGAGGCGGGAGTATGTGTTTACGCAACTGGTGGTATCTCAGCGAAGGGGCCTCGAATGCGATTTAAAGCCTTCAGCTCACTCAGCCGAGGCGAGGCCCCCGGAGATTCTCTGAGCAAGGGTAGTGAACGTTCGCTCCCCAGAACACGCCCCCGAATGAGCGCGGTCGCGAACTGCGCAGTCCTCGGGGGACACAGCGCCGAACTGTGGAACAACGCGATCATTGCAAGTCCACGCGGAGCGAGCGCCATTGAGCGCGTCGAATGTCCACGACCAACGAAGGCGGACGCCCGCCGTCTGCCTAGCAACTCGAGAACAGGGTCGCGGTCCGCTGAGGACCATGCGACCGCTGTCGCGGCCCACCGCTCCCCCCCCCCCACCATTGCCCTGCCAGCCAGGAAGACGAGGAAAGAAAAACCAGGGTCGCAATATTTGGATCCCTCGTCTTCCTCCTCCCCCTCCGCCTCCTCATCCTCCCTCTCATCCTCTTCCTCCTCCCCCTCCCCCTCTTACCCTTCTCCTCCTCCCCCTCCTCACCCTCCTGCTCCTCGTCCAACTCCTCCCCCTTGTTAAATTTCTACTCCTCCCCCTCCTCACCACCACCACCGCTCTCCCCCCATCATTGCCCAGCCATCCGGGCAGACGAGAAAATACAACCCGGATTGCCCCCGTTTGATCCCTCGTACCACCACCTCCTGATCCTCGTGGTCCTCCAACTCCTCACCACCACCACCGCTCTCCCCCCCATCATTGCTCGGCTAGCCGGGCACACGAGATAATCAAACCGGGACCACACTCTTTGCATCCCTTCACCTCCTCCTCTTCTCTATCCTCTTCCCCTCGCCCCACGCGGCCCCCATGGATGGCTCGAAGAAGCCTTTCCAAGGCCACCTGTTCGCTGCCAGAGATCTCTCGATTCATCCTGGTTGCTCGCTTAGTTTCAGTAGATGTGCCCCTTCGTCCCTTTTCCCGTCACCTTCGTGGGCAGGGCTTCTGAATGGGCTGGTGGGGAGCTTCGGTGGAGCTCCGTATGGGGCCACGAAGCGCTGTACCGGGTGATTGACAATGCCAAACTCATGCGTCCCGGACGGTCCCACCGGGGCTTCGGTGGCGCTCCCCGGCTGGAGCGGCGTGGTCCCCCCCCCCCCGCCGCTCGGGGCGGCGCCGCTCCGCTGCCGAGGGGCGGCTCCGCGACCAGGGGCCTCCCCCGCGCGGGGGTTCGGAGCCACGGCGTGCGGCGCTCGCGGCATCTGGTGCGGCACAGCCGACGGGCCGCCCCCCCCCCCCGTCCCCCCCCCGGCTGCCGAGACCCTCCTCCCTCCTCCTGCTGCTGCTGCTGCTCCTCCTCCTCCTCCTCCTCCTCCTCCCTCCCCCGCCCTCCCCCTCCTCCTGCTCTTCCTCCTTTCGGAACCCTTTCGGTATAGGCTCTGTAGCGCCGCCGCGGCGCCGCAGCCTCAGGGCGCCTGCTTGTGGGCGCCGTACATCATCATAGTATGTTTCTTATTGTTGTTATTATTATTCTTTGCGTGGAGCACCCCTCCCTTCGGCTCGCGAGCTGAGGGGTGCTCCACCTTCTCTAGTATTTGTCTTCGCTTCTCTTTGTGAGCCGCTGCCGACCTGGCTGGTCGGCGGCTCTGCCTCGCCTGTCACTTGAGGTGGCGGCCCCTCGAGGGTATCTGCCGCCAAACCTTGGCTTCTCTCCTTCGATCGGTGGCCGTTGCCGTGTCGCAGCAGTTGTCATGTCTTTCCGGCAGCCCGCCCCTTCGGCCTGTTGGCTGCGGGCTGCCCATCCTCGCATTGTTCTTGTCGTTGCCGTCGCAGGTCTTCATGGGTGCCCTCCGTGCAGGTGCTATTGCCGCCGCTGCCTGGCGGCCCGCCCTTCGGCCGCTCATGGGCTGCGGGCCACCAGTCTTACGATATACTTCTCATCGTGGTGGCCACTGACGTGTCGAAGCTGCTGTCACGTCCTGTTGGCGGCCCGCCCTTCGACCTTCTGGGTGCGGGCTGCCATGCAGGTTCATGTTCATATCGCCGCTGTCGCTCATCCTCTCGGGTGCCTTTTGGCTGCTGATGCTGTGGTCGATTTGCCATTGGACGTCATGCTTTCGAGCGCTCCTCAATCCCGTCCGTGCCGAAAACAACCTCAACCATTGGACCCCCGTACTTACGTGGCGACGTGTTGCCTAGTAGCCGCGATGGCGCACTCGGGCTTTGCGCTCTAACACCTTCCAGCATACGTGGCGACGTTGTGCCTCGTAGCCCTGATGGCACACTAAGACTTTGCGCTCGAACGCATGATTATAGACCTTGCTCCGTGGCGTCCGCGATATCCACTTGCGTACTCCGACCCGCTTCACGGCATAGCGTCTCGCAATCGTGCCTGTGGTGGCTGCAGCTTTGGTGGTCCTCGCTGCGGTCGCCGCTGATGTCGTCGCCGCTGACGACGTCCTCGTTCAGTACGTGGTTGAGGTACCCATCGTAGCTGGTGTGCATGTCGCTGGTTGGCGCTGCGCTGGCCACCCTGAAGCCCCATCTTGCTATGATCATCTCGTCGAGCTGAGCAGCTGCGGCGAGGTCGAAGTCCTCGGCGGTTGTCTCCTTCATCTGAGTTTCCTGTATGGTGGTTGATGAGTTGGCTATGATTCAGACGGTGCCAAGCTCGTAGTTTCTGGCCGTGCTGAACGTCGCTGCCGCGCGCTTGATGGTGTAGTGGCTCCCGGGGAGCATCCAGAAGATAGGGTCCGCGGCGTGTATGGCAAGGAAAGGAACCTTCGCTTCGTCGGCAGCGTGCGCGATGATGAGGGCTTCTCTCGCGACGGAACTGGCTGAATAGAGCTCTACCTTTTCCGTGGCGTCGGCTGGTCCCCATGGCGTTACCTTCGAGCGGCGGGTATTGGCACGGTTGGCAAGGTCGTTGGCATGGTCGAAGTGGTACCAGGTCCTTCTCGGCATCTCGGCATATATTCCTGCGATCCCACCCCTCAGGATCCTGTCGCGCATTGGCTGTGGATCGCGATCTCACGTCGGTACTTCGCAATCGTTGCACGTGTCGTCGTGCAGTAGTCCAGGCCGCTCGCGCTGGTTACTGTGCTTGTCGCCATGACCTGTTGGAGGTCACCTGGTTGTCGATGGCGGCCGGCGATGAAGACGCCGTCCTGTCGCTCGGCTGGCTCGGGTGTCTTCGGGGCTGTGGGTTGGTGCTTCGTCGGATGGATGGCGGCGCAGATCTTAGGGAATATGGGCGGCGTCTCCAAGATTGGGAGCGGCGTGATCTCGATCTTGTAGGCTGGTATCTCGCTGAAGGTCGCGTGTCGGCCAATCTCCCGGTTGGCTGCAGTGGTCGTCGGCGATTTGCTGTTCGGTGGGCGGCTCCATCGTCATGGTGCGCCAAGCGCGCCAGGACCTGCGGCAACGGTGGGCTACCGCAAGGTGTGGAACTCCGTCTAGCAGCATCTACACGCCGCGCCCGTCGCCCATCGTCGGGGGTTCTCGCTGTCGGGGTGGCCCCTACCCATGTGCACCGCCATGCCCTGCTTGGTGGCTGCGGACGCAGCCGTAGCATATGCATTACATCTCGTCGATGCCGTCGGTCTGGTCGGTCCCTGCGGTGCTCGAGAAGGTCGCGGGCATCTGGGCATCCTTCTGGAATCTCTCCAGCTGGGCCTGGTCGCGCATCTAGAGCAGGTATGCCTTGGTCGCTGCCATGACCGCGATGATGAAGCGCTTGGGCTTCTGGCGGGCCCAGTTGACGATGTCGCTGTCCTGCAGGCCCTTGCTCGGCCACCTGTCTCGTGGGAGGTGCGTGCGGAGAAAAAGGTAAAGTCCTGCTTGATCATGTGGCTCCAGGCCCCCCTGCGCTGCCGCTGGCTGTCAAGAAGCCGAAGTAAAACCGCAAGCGCGTTGCTCAGGAGCCGAGGTATGTAGCGTAGTCGAGCTGCCGTCTGTCTTCGCTATCGCCTCGCTGGCGGCGAAAACCTTATCTGGTGCATTCGTCTTGGGCAATGAGGCGGCAACTCGGTAAGGACCCATATGATTCGCAGCGATGTGGTTGTGGTCCTTCTTGTTCAAGACATTCCAGACGTGGCGTCTGTAGGTTAGCGACGAGGTCGAAAGCGCGCGTGCGCTATTCAGCTTGGCCTTCGTTGACAGCTTCTCGCGGCGGAAGGATCTGCTTCTCCAAAGGGCGTGCTGATCCAAGCGTTCTGTTGACTCTGAGGTAGACATCGGGGCCCATGGCCCCGCCCACCACGATGATGGTCCCGAAGGCTTTCTGCTGGGTCACGAGCTGCACCTTGATGGGGAGGCCTTCGAGCTCGATGAAGGTGACCTTGTCATTGGCGATCTTCTGGCGCTCCCTTCTGGCCCCGCTGCCATAATGCGTGACGATGGCTTTCGTCTTGTCTGGGTGCGGCTGAAGTCCGTGCTGGTGTGCTGGTGCGCACAGTCTGGTGGCTGAAAGTCGCGTTGTCTGGATCAGGTCGCTAGCGCTGGGGGTCGAGTTGTAGTCCGCGAGGTCGTCGACGAAGGACGCGTTCCTGAGCACGCTGCCCGCGTGGGGCGCCGCCGAGAATAATTGGTTCTCTCCAGCCTCGATTCCGTGGCCACCTGCCGGGTGGTTGCGATTTACGTCGGCGGTCGCTGCTTGGTCGATGGCTCTCGGCATGATGGCGAAGTGCGCGTTGAAGGCGACGTCGGAACACGGCGCGCAAGGCCGGGCGCCGGCCCGTGGTAGCTGGTAGTGCTTGGCGCTGTTCGCCGTCATCCAGTTGGAGGTGTAGTGGTCGGCGATTATGCGGCAGAGGAGCTCGTCGTCGATGTGTTGGTTGTTGTGTGCAGGTTGCTGTAGTCGGTCCTTCCGCGAGGGATGGACGAAGCTTGGGATGTCGATCCGTTCGATGAGGTCGTTGGGTTCGTCGGATGGTGTCGGCAGTCGCATGCGGAACTCCCTGATTACGGAATGGAAGGCCTCCCTGAGGCCAAGGGAGGCTATGCTGCGCGATCTGGCCCTTCGCTGGCAGTCGGTGGTGAAAGCCAAGGAGGTGTGGGTGATAAAGTCGGCCGTCATCTTAGGTCGCGCGCACCACACTGCGTTGCTTCCGACACAATAGGTAATGGGCCCTTCACCCGCGAACGTAGAAAGCGGCCGTGCATCTGCCCGATGGCGTTGTTGAGAAGGATGCCGCGGTAGGATTTCTGCCGATCAACGGCTCCCTGGCCCTTGTGGAAGCGGGTGGAGCACCCGCCCTTAGCAACGATGGGCTCTGTGCTCTCGGTTTGTGTCTTGGCCGGGACAGGGCGAAGAAGTCGGGCCATCCCTTCGGGGTCTGCTCTGGACATGTCGTCGGTGAGTTGGTCTGGTCCTCCTCGACTTCCTCGCTTGGCATCGGCCAGGTGGCTAGTGAGCTGGTGCTTCGGAATGATGTTATGGATCTTCGGTGCTGGTCGGGTAGCGCTGGTTCTCGCGTTGTCGTCTTCGGCTAACCCTTCGGTGCCCGTAGACTCGCCCATCTCGATCCTGCCGTAGCATTCGTAGGTGCAGTCGGCGATTTCAGTCTTGGTCGCGAGGGGCCTGCCGTCGCCAGTGCTGCGAATGATAGGCGCGGGCGGCTTCTCGGGCTTTCGCCCTCCAAAGGCCAGCGGGCGCCTGGCGTACAGGGCCCCTTGTCGCGGGGCGCGGTCGTCGGAGGCAACGCTCAATTCTTCGGCGGCCTCGAGGAAGGCGTCGCGATCTTCTTCAAGCCACTTCTTAAGCATTGGCTTAGTTGCTCTGAGGAACTGCACGATGGTGCCATAGTGATGCTGAGTGCTGTCGACGCTGCTGGACGTCGCTCCTTCCGCTCTCGGCGCTGCTCTGTCTGCTTGGTCATATAGGAAGGGGGAGCCAGAGATGACGGAAGCAGCGATGAATTTAGTGCAGCCGTTGATAATGGCCGAAAGCCTCGCGTCCGCCAGGTCAGGGAGCATGGCGTCGCGCGAGAGAAGCTTCGCGGTGCATCGGGGCAGCTTATCGCCGACGTAGTTAGTGAGCCCGTTCTTATTCGCGACGCGGGTCGTCTTGAACAATGAACAATGAACGGAGGAGCGCTCCGTGATGTAGGGCTTGTGTTGGGCACGGTCGTGGGAGCGGAAGCTCTCGTAAGCCGCCTTCGTTATCCTCTCGGTGACGGTTGCGAGGTGCTATCAGGGCGGGTGCTGGATGTCTTGGAGCTTTTGGCTGAACTATTTGCGGCGGGCGTCGTCGGCCAGTTTAGGCCCGCCGAGCTTCGGCGCTCCCTTTGTAGCCGAAGATTCGATCTCATGGGCGAGCTCCAACTTGACGGGGTAGCGGTCGCCCTTGGCGTCGGGGCCGCAGCCGTTGTCGACGCCGCAAAGGACGGAGCACGCTTCAATCGAGCCCAAGTATCCCCTCGGAATGATGACGTAGTCGATGCGGCGGGGGTTCTTGCCTGAGTGCCATGCGCGGTGCTCGGTGCCGTCGCTGACGAATGCGCTAGCGGCCGCAAGGTGGTCGGAAAGGAGCAGCTCGTGGAGACGTCTTCCATTCGAATAATTTTTCTGTTGCGTGCCCTGGTCACCGAGCGCCGTGCTGGTGATGTCGCCTGTTCTGGCGATGGCGTCTATCAAAGCGATTCCGATATGGGGCTTCTCGGTCGCCTCGGTGAACCTCTTCCAAAAACTGGATTTCTCTTCCTCGGGGGCTGAAGGGGGGGGGGGGGGGCGTGGGCGACGGCCAGTACTTGGGCGAAACCAGGTGCGCTCACACGGATGATGAGAAGCCCGGGGTCGTTCTCGATAATGATGAACTGGTCGCGCTGGAAGAAGAGCTCTTCCTCGCCGCACTTCCCGTAGGGCTTGCTAAGGAAGACGTGGAGCCCGCAGCTGTGAGTATATCCCGCGTGGCCGCTGGAGATCACGTGGTAGCTGTTCGCATTGGCGCGGGAGACATCGCCCTCCTTCTCGGAATCGCGTATACCCCATGGCGCCCTGGCCTCCTGGATGCCGATGATGTGTAGGTCTTCGTCGTGTAGGCTGGCCATGGTGGTCTTTAACTTGTTGAGTTTCTACTTCCGCCGCTTCGCTCCTTCGTTAGCTCCCCGGCCTGCCTGCGCGTTGAAGGTCGCAATGTTGATTTCGATATCTGTCTTCCTGTCGCTGGATTCGGTCGGCTGATGGAAGTGGCGTGCTTCGGCGGCCGCCTGGACCCTGGTTGCCCTGTCCGAAGGTGGGGTAGGCCTCCCTGGTGTTCTGGTCCGCATCGAGCGAAAAAACAGTCTCGCTGGTACTTGCCGTCCATTATGATCACCCATCCTGGCTGTGGAACTGCAACTGCGGTGATACGAGCGCGGTTAACGGCCGCGTCGGCGACTTCTCTCCAGGGGCTGCGCTCGCGTGCGTGGACGTGCTGCAGGTCCATCTTCTGGCTGACCATGTCGTAGAGGATGCTGAGCGCCCCGACAAGGTCGGGGTCGTGGTCGGTGAAGGCCATGCTCTTCGCAAGCCGCAGGGCCCCCAACGAGTCGATCGAGATCGTGACGGCGTCGTCGAGGTTGCGGTGCATGACCCAAGCGAAAGCCCATGTGAGCGCGGTGATCTCGACGGTAGTGGAGGTGGTTTCCCTGTCGCGATTGCCCTTCGCTGCGTCGTCGGTGATGCTATTGCGCTTCCCAACGATTGCTCCTTGAAGCGCGAAGCCGAGGTCGTCGCCCCCTACAATGATAACGGCCAAGGCGTCATCGTTCGGCTTTTTCGGGTGCTTGGAGCCGTCGGTGAAGAGGTGGATCCTTGCGTTCGGCTGCAGTGGTCGCGGTGGATGGTGGCGTGGCATGTACTCGGCGGCATCGTCGAGGCTCTCGTCGTGGGATTCGACGGTGGGTGTTCGGTGGTGGGTATGGTGCAACGTGGTGGGTCTGGCGTCAAAGTCGACTCGGTGCTGCTGCTGTGGTGATGGTAATTTTGGTGGTAACTGCGGATGGTCGGGGGGAAGTGGTATACAGTCAGTGGGTGCTCGGAAAGGTTGAATCGCTTCCCCCCAGATACACAGTCCATGTTGTGAGCGCTTCCGTCGGAGTCGGTAATGGATGGTTGGGCATGGTCGAGGCGGCCACTCGAAATGGTCACCTGGCTTGGCCCCTTTGGGACTGTCTCGGGTGGACTGTTGGACGTGGGGGCTCGCTTTGGGTAGGGGCATCGAGGTGTGAGTCTCCGAAGTCGTCGCCGATGCCAACGATGACGTCGCCTGTCAGCTGGGGCGCGGTGTAGTTGTTGGTGTCGGGTCGTTGGGCCGTCGTTGTTGTCGCGCTGTCGATAATATTCGTTGCGTCATTAGGTGTGCAATTTGGTGCGGTCGCCGGGTCTGCTTGTGGCGGCCGTCTGGTGCTGCACCTCTCGGGCAGTCTGGACTGGCATGCTGGGCGGTGGTGTTCGTTCTGGGGCGGAGCGTCTAGATATGTGGCTTCGATGTCAAGGAAGTATCGTGGGCCTGAGGGGGACCTGCTCGACCCCCATGAACAAACGGTGGTTGATGCTTGGTGGCCTTGGTGCCCAAGCGCCTGTCGGTCTCCGCTTGTCACGGGTCGGTCGGGCACGGTGGCCCGCGGTGCCCCATCCATCGCCTCCCGCGCGCGCGGGGAGACGGGCGGGTCAAGCGCGGGGGGTCTTGGAAGGTGCTCGGCATATTTGCTGGCCTTGGGGGGTCGCCAAGGTCCAGCAAGCTCGTCGCCGTGGTGCTGGTCTGCGTGCCACGCCTCGGCTGGAGGCAATCGCTGCTGCCGTTGATGCTTCAATAATTGCTGCTGCTGGCGTCGGTTGGTCTCCTTGCCGGGTGTTCTGCGGCCCCCCCCTGGAGATAGAGTGGGCGGCGTCTCAGAGCCAAAACGGCGAGTCGCCTGGTGAGTTCCTTTGGGCTCGGGTCGGTCGGGTCGCGGGGGGCATGATGACGTCGCCCATCGCTGGCTGTGCCTCATGATTTGTCAACGCCTCAGGCTCGTGGGAGCCTTGTTGGCGCATGGTGCTGGGTGTGACCTTGGGGTGCCTCCAGGGTTCAGCTGTAGTTGTGTCATGCTGCTGTTGGCGTCATTGGCAGTCGGCGCCTGGTCGCGTGGCAGCTCCTGCTGGGCCAAGGGGCGGCTCTTCTGGTTCGTTTCGTCCAGAAACACCTCTTGTGCCCCCCCCTGGCCTGCTGCTGTTGCTTGTCTGGGTTGGTGTCTCCTGGTCGCGCGGCAGCTTCAGCTGGGCCAGGGGGCGGCTCTTCTGGTTTATGCCGCCCAGAAACTCAGCTTGTGCCCCCCGCCCCTGGCCTGCTACTGATGCTCGACTGGGCTGGCCGAGGGTTGGCCACCCAGCCCAGCGTCGGTCGCAATGCAGTCTTTCTCGCAGCCAGAGTGGCTTGCCCGCTCGCGGGTAGGGCTGCCTGGCCTCGAAGCCCTGTCTGTCGCGTGAATGCTGGGGCAGTGGCATGCCTTTCTGTCGTCCGTGCTCTTCGGTTCGTATTCTGCTGTCTTCGGCTGCGGTCGGTGGGGGGGGTGATCTCCTTGAAGATCCTTGCCGTGTCTGGCGGCGCACCTGGAGGGGTCGTCGGCGTCGGGGCCGACCGCGGCTGGGCGGGCCCCTGATAACATGCCGTGCTCTGTCTCCAGTGCAGTGCTGTCGACAGAGGTAGGGTCCGCCATGCCTAATGCCTGGCGCCTATGCGATGATGCTATGCCGCTGTGCCTTCTCGCCTTCCCCGTGCGAGATGTAGCGGCCGAGGGGGTGGACCACGATCCGCTACCAGGTAGCAGCAGTTGGTGCGAGCGGGTTCCCCGCTGCACGCTTGGTTGGCGATTTACTGGGTGAGGTGCGCTATCCCCGAAGCCCGTGCCTGGTTGTTCGGAGGGAGAGCGGGGGTGGTGTGGTCGGTGCCCTGCGGCAGCGCGGCAGGAGTCGATGTCGCTGGGCACATGGGCTGTGGGTTATTCTGCTGCATGGCTCTGCCCCTCTTCCCGGGCCAATCTTCCCCCCCCCCCCCCCCCACCGCCGCCACCGCCGCCGCCACCGCCGCCGCCACCCCACCACCAAGAAGTCGTGGCGCTGCTAGTTTGCCGAACTGGAGTCGGAGTGAGCCTCGCTGCCGTCGACGAAGGCAGGGGCGCGGTCTCCAGGATCGGCGAATCCATCCCCAGTGTCGCAAATGCGCACTTTCTTCGTATGCGTCGTTCTGCTGGCTGGGCCTCTCTTCTGAGAGCTGTCCGAAGGGGTGGGGCTGATCTTGCCCTGTGGGGTGTCCCCGTATGGAACCTTGGCGGGGGCTGGACTGGTGTCATTGGGGCTGCGGGTGAGATGTCGGACAGTAGGATTCCTGGCGGCGCTGAGGGTGGTTCAGCATCGTCGCCAGATGATGTCGGCCAGGATTGTTGTAGTGGGCTTGCTCGTCCTCGTAGTGCTGTCGCTGGTGCGAACATTAGGTGGTGGGACTGAGCTGGGCCGTTCGTAGCCGGGGTAGTTTGCGAATGGGCCTCCGGAGGTCGGTTGCTCGTCCAGGATTGACGCGCGGGGAGTGGAGGTCGGCAGAAGCGTCGGAACGGGGACTGGGCAGTCATCTTCAGCTACTGGGGTTGGTTCGCAGAGGTCGTCACCGTCGCTTGGGGCGGGGGTCCGCGCGCCCACGTCGTCGTCCTTATCTTTTGTTTTGTCGTCTCACCCCCTTGCTGGTGTAGTCGGTGGCATCGTCGGTCTTGTCGCTGTAGCTGGAAATCCCAGGCCCTGTCGGCCCCAGGCATCAGAGTCCGCGGTGCTGTGCTCAGCGATGCTGCTGATACTGCCCGTCTTCTCTGGGTAGGTCGCGCAGCCGCTGGTGCCGCGAAGCCATGGAAGGATGAAATGAGGGGCCGCTTCAACTTCGCGATCGGCGTGGGCTTGTCTTGGTCTGTCATTGCCTGTCGTGTCTGCTCTTCCCCGCCCTACTCTCTCAGCTACATGTCTATGTATCCTGGGATGTCGACGTCGAGGTCGGTCCCCCTATGATGAGCCCCTTGGAGTTCGCTATGTAGCTTTTCTCGTTCTTTGATGTGCCTGATTCTGATTTCCTCAGTCTCCCGTGCTGGTTGGCTTCTTTTGTTATTCTTTCGGCGTTGAAGATAGCTTCTGAAAAGGGCGCCATGGCGATCTCCTGGTCGTGCTGATGCTCTTCCTGGATGGCGTTGCGTCGCTGAGCATGTAATTGTCCGTGTTCTTCAAGTTGCGCTTCCTTGGCATGCTGCATCTTTCTTGCAGCGCCCGCTGCTCGCCAGCTCGTTGACTGCCCGAGTGTCTCCAGCTTCTCGAATTGCAGTAACTGAGCCTGTTCGCGGCACATCCTGTTGTACTCGCCGATCATTGTGTGCTCGTTTGGCCCCAGCCCGCCTCTAAATTCCTCTTCCCTTGCATCTTGCGCGAGACGGTTTGCCTGGGCAACTCGCGTTTCCTGCGCGGGCCGTTCCAGCTGCACTGCAAAAGCTTCTTCGCGCTCCTCACGGACCAAGCGCGCCCGTTGAGCAAAGCGAGACCCTTCAATGATCCGTGCTTCTTATGCCGCGCGCGCTTTTCTTGGCCAGCCGTTCCTCTTCGCGTTGGAGGTATGGGCGAAACGTGAGCTGGCTGCCACGTGTTCTTGCAGCAATTGTCGTCGGGCCCCTGACGTCAGCCCCCCCCCCCATATCTTTCCGAACCGTGCTCCATGGTCGTCGGTCTGGCGGTCATCTCTTTCATCTCCTCGCATTGCTCAGCGCATCGTCGCTGCTGCTGGTCCTGTTCTGCCCGCTCGTAATGGAGGAAAGCAATATGATGCTGGTGAATGACCTGATGTCGCTGCTGATCGCCGATTCACGTCGCAAGCTCTGCGACCTGCCTCCTCATGTCTCCTTCACCATCGTCTGCGCTCCTGTTGGCATGTGCAACCCGTGGAAATCGAAGCACTTACTGCTGCGGTCGAATTTTTGGGCGGGGGGTTCTGCCACGGGCGCCTCGGTGATCACTCTCGCAGTCCTCGTCGCCGTCGCAGCTTGAGTCCTCGTCTTGATGCTTGAAGTCCTTGAGCTTCTTCGTCTCTTGGATGAGGGCTTTGAAAGCCGCGATGCGCTCGCTGACTTCCTTTTTCATCGTTGCTGAGCTCGTGGATGCTGGTCTCGATGCTATGGTTTCTCTTGTTCAGCTCCTCGACCTGGCGCCTGTAGGTCGCGATCCTCTCCGTAGGCTCCATGGTAAGCTGAGCCATCATCTTTGTGATTGCTACTTCGCGGCACAGCTTGGACGCGTCGACTTGGGCCTGCTCGGCGCCAGCGATCTGCTCTGCGAGACGCCCAAGTCTCGCAATCTTGGTCGCGTACCACACTCGTCGAATATCTCGCTCTGGGGGGCGGACAGGAAAACATTCATGCTCTTCGCAACCGAGATGAGGACTGGCGTGATCTGATCAACACTAGCTGCCTGCTTCTTGGTCAGTTTCGGCTCCTGGTGGTCGTTGTTGATGTCGTAGTAGTTGTTGCCGGTCTGTGTTTCATGCCCTTTTCTTCTTTGGTGTCGACCGTGCTGTAGACATTGTTTTGAAAGCTCTTCCAACCATTGAACTGCCAGTCGTGGTAGTTCTGGTAGCCGTACTGCTTCTGATGGTCCTCTTGACTGTTGCCTCCTCCTGGCTGCCTCCTCCATGGCCATGGTAGTCCGCCAACTGGGGGTCCTGCAGTACGGCTGCCTGAGCTTCCGCTCGTCATCTTGTCGCTGTTGTTGTACTTCGGGTGCTGCTGGTTGCGCTGGTGCTGTTGCTGCTGGGAACTGCGGTGGCAATTCAGCACCTGGGCCGCGTCGAGGACGCGGAAGAGGGTCCTCGCGGCGGCCCTCTTCTCCCTCTGCCGCCTGTGCCACGGGGGCTCGCCCTCACGGGGCGTGGCGGCTGCGCGCCGCCGCGGCTGCGGCGCCAATGGCGCACTGCGCGCGGCCACGAGCGGCGGGGGTGACCGACGAGGACGCCGGCCCCGCCCCTCCTCAGCTCGTGGCTGCTCCTCCTCCTCCTGCTCCTGCTGCTCTTCCTGATTCGCCTGCTCTTGATGCTCCTCCTCCTCTTCCTCCAGCTCCTGCTGCTTCGCCTGGTTTTGATGCTCCTCCTCCTCATCCTCCTGCTCCTCGTCCCCTTCCCCTGGAAGAAGAACGAACGGCGTAAACATACACTTTTGGCGCTCCGCGCGGATTTCCTGGATGTGCGCTTGGACCCCCGTCCCTGGCGCACGGAGCGCGCCAGGAGCGGCGTCGGAGGCTCCGCCAGAGAGGCCCCAGCGCGGATCCAAGAAATCCGCGCGGACCTCCGAAAGTTTATGTTTATGCCGTTTTTGTATTCCCCATTCCTCCTCGTGCTCCTCCCCTCGTCCGCCTCCTCCGTGCAGTAGTCTCCATTACCAGGGAACCCACCCCGAGGGCGGAACTGTCTCGGAGCAGTGTTTCGCCGGAATTGGTCTCCAGAGGTCGTCGTGGGTGCGGGCGCCCTCGAGCTCCTCATGACATGAAAGAAACGGGTTCAAATGGAAACGGGTCCTGGTCCTCAGGTGAGCGTTTTCTTATTCGGCGTTTCGATATTCGCAGAAAAAGAAAGGGGGGGTCTGGCACCGGACCTCTGCTTAATGCGGCTGTTTGGAACAGTGAGTTCTATTGGGGAGACTCCACCCGCTCGCAATAAGCGCCCAAAACAGCCAAGATCCATTCCGGGGGGGATCTCGAGGACGGCGAAAATCCTCCAGGACCCCTTTCCCACAAGACCACTTTGCTTCATGGCGAACTCCTCGAGCGAGTACGTGTGCTCCCGCTTGTCGCCCTCGTGGTCTATCAGCGTCTGCTGGGCCCACGACGGGGCACCCTCGAGGGCGTCGTACCGCTCGTTGTAGAAACAGAAATTGTCGGCCAACTCCCGGCGGACCACTGCCTCCTCGGTGGGCGCCGTACGTGTATGGCTAGAATGTATGTAGATGTGTGCGTGTGCACATACAGTCCCATGATTATAGGTACATGCCCAGGGCTGTAAATAGATTCGGGTCGATGGACGTGTGTAAATATACACACATCCATGCATGTCTATAGGAATGAATCGCAAGGTCTGATACTTGATCCGAAACTCGGCTCGAAGTCTGAACCTCATAACAACCTGAATCGACCCAGGTCGAACCTGAAGCGAACTTGAGTCGGAATGGAGGCGTCGAACAGATCCGCTAGGTGGGCCCAAGGTCCCCCAAACGAGCATCTAATAGCTGACTACCTAGACCACCCAAACCCAACCCGAAGACCGTAATTACGGGTTGGGTGGTGGGTACGGGCTTCATATGTGTTATTTTCGAATGCTCACCGACCCCCCCACCACTGGAAATGGAGGGCAAATCGGGGCCTTCGGGTTGGGTTGGGGCCGTTTGGTAGGTGGAATGTAGGTATGTGGTTTGGAGTGGTCTGGTAGGTGATTTGGTAAATACGCAGCAGGCTGCTGTATAACAACCTGCTGCGTAGTTGCGCACGGCAAGGCAAGACCAGAGATGGCGGGGGGGGGGATCCGTGCGGCCTTGGGGTGCGCACAGGCAGGCCCCGGATGTAGCCCCAGCTGGCCCATGCCCTTAGAGGCTTCCTAGATGGGGTCGGAACGATTGGGGTCGGAGCATCGCGCCGACTGCATCGGCGATGCACCGCCGATGCATTGGCGATGCAACGGCGACGTCGCCGATGCATCGGCGCCGTCGGCGTGGAGGAAATCGAGCTCCACATCGAGCCGCATCGCCGATGCATCGGCGATGCGGTGCGATCTTCCGATCTCATCTACTCCGACCCCATCTAGGAGGCCTAGAGCCCTCGCCATCGCTCGGACGCCCATTCCTCGATGGCCCTCGCCGAAGCTCCCCGATGGCCCTCGCCGAAAGAAAGCTGCGCACGTCCGAGCAGGGCCCAGATATCAGGCCCTGTGGTCTGGGGCGGTCGCACATCCCTCCGGCGGAGGAGGAGGAGGAGGAGGCAGGAGGAGGAGGGAGGAGGAGGAGGAGGAGACGAAGGAGGAGGAGGCAGGAGGAGGAGGAGGAGGAGGAGGAGGCAGGAGGAGGAGGAGGAGGAGGAGAAGGCACACCTTCTCTTTGGTGATCGCTCGCGGCCTCACGCGCATCGACGGGGCGGAGAAAGTCCCCAGGTGCCTGGAGAGCGCGCGCAGCAGGCCCCTCCGAACAGGAATCTCCCTCCCCCTCCCCACACACAGATACACACACACTCACACACACACACGCGCACACACACACACGCACACGCACACACGCACACACGCACACGCACACACGCACACACGCACACGCACACGCACACGCATGCGCACACGCACACAATCACGCACACACACACACACCACACACCACACACCACACACAACACACAACACACAATACGGAACACACAGCACACACCACACAAAACATTACACACAACGCACAACATATAACACACAACACACACCGCACAACACAACACACGTTACACACAATACGCAACACGCAACAAACAACACACAACACACAACACATAGCACGTACAACACATACCACACACCACACAACACACAGCACGCAACACACCACACACCACACACAACACACAGCACACACAACACATAGCACGCACAGCAACCACAGCACACACAGCACACACAGCACACGCAACACACGCAGCACACGCAGCACACAACACACAACACACGGAACAGAACACGTAACACAGAACACACGGTACACAGCCCACAGCACACTGCACTCAACGCACAACACACAACCCCCAACACGCACAACACACGATACACAACACACAGCACAGAGCACAGAACACAGTGCGCTGAACACAGACAAGCCAACGTACGAAACACATAACACACAACACACAACACACGGACCACCACACACCCGCGCACGCACGCACGCACGCACACACACAACACACACATAGATCCACAAAACACCCACCACGCACCACACACACGCACATACACAGAATGCACACACACACACACACCAGCACACACGAACACACACACACACACACAACACACACACACACACACGACACCCACACACACACACATGCGCGCACGCACACACTCCTGGCTGGGCGCCCCCAGCGCCGCCCCCAGCGTGCTCCACGCGCTGGAGAGGGGGTGTGGCAAGTTGGGTGCGCTCGCGCCATATCTGACATCCTACTTCTGCACGCCTCCCACCTATTCCTTGCCATTGCGCTGATTTGTCTATAAACGTCGACAGGTGTCACAGTGGACCTGGAACCTCGAAAAGGACACCATCGTGTTATGTGCAATCAGGGACAGGGGACATGAGTACATTGGAAGAGGTGGCGGATGAGCAGAAAGAAGACGACGATAAGGAGAGAGAAGGACGAAGAGCAACAGCAGCAACAGGAGCAGGAGTGGGAGGAGCGGGAAGAGCAGAAGGACCATGGGAAGGCGGAGGAGGGGAAAGACGCGGGAATACAACGACCGATGAGGAAGGACTCGGATCCAGAACCTTTGGCGAAAGCGTCATTCAGAATGACGGGAGCAAAGCGCCGATCCTACACTGGGGCCCACGTTGCAACACAAACACCAATTGGAACGGCTGAAAATCGTATCAGATATCAAGTTTCGAATTCCCGTGTGCGAAACACAGTGTACAATAAGGCCGCAATGCCCACTGGACGTCTACGAGGGGAAAAGAGAGAGCAGAGTCGTATTCATTTTGAGTACATGTGGGAGGGGGTCCAACGCCGACACCACGGATCTGCAAAGACCTTGGAACATGTACGGTTGGTTCGTGTCGTGATATCGGCATTGGGGCGTTGGCTTTATGACACCGTAGGCATCGTTCAACCAGGAGCGATCGCGGTATTCCGATAAAGCAGATCGCAAGACATCGATCGATTCCGGGTCAATGACATCGTTCAGCCTTGACGCCCGCAAATGTGGTCGCCGCGGCGTCAACGCGGCGCGAACCTGTCGCACTGTGCTGGTTCACAGATTGGGGATTCTGTGTCTTCGTTCCCGAGACCTCTTGGGCCCGATCCTCTATGAAGCCCTCGGCCGCCTTCTCCAGGGCCGCATCGGCCGCAGCCGCCTCGCGGACTCTGAGGGCACACCTGCGGGCGGGGGCCGAGGCCACCGAAGCCACCGAGGAGGAGGGGGGGAGGGAGGACGACGCGGGTGAGGCAAGGCACGGCAAGCGCGGTCGAGGGGTGCAGCGCCCGAGCTTGAAGAGAACGCTCGGCCCCTGCGTAGGCGGAATGCGGACGCGCGTGCGCCACCTTCTGGTGGAGCGAGTTCCGGATCCGGCCTGCAGCGCGCGAGGCCCACTCCGCGGTGCCCCCCCGAACTAGTTCGGCGCATCACTCACACGGGTCGTACAGAGGGAGGTGCGGCATGGCAGAGTTGCAAGCTGCTGTGGGTTGGGCCCCTCGCCAGGCAAACTGCCGTCGGGTGTTCCCCCCAGCCCTCCCGTGTTGGGCCCTCGTTCGGAATGGCGCGCCACTGCTGATCCATTTCCCTCTCCTTTCCGCTCTCTTCCCTCTTCTCTCTTATTTCCTCTGCGTTCCTCCCCGGCCCTCCTGTGTTGGGTACCCGCGTTGATCAGAGCATCCCTGCTCCTTCCGTCTGCTTCCGCATTATCCTCTCCCCTCCCGTCTTCTACCTCCTCGTTTCCTCCGTGCTCTCCCTGGGTTTTCCAACTGCGCAGCTGAGGCCAAACGAGATCGCACTCTCTGGGTGCTGCCAACTGCGCAAATATCGCAATTTGTGTGCGCGGGGGGGGGGGGGAGAATCTAGCAGAGAGACGTCCGACCTAGACCCAACTAGAGATCGCCTCTTCATCCTGGGGCGCCCACAGCCGCGCCACTGTCGCCACTTGTGTGAGCTGCTGCGGGCGCGCAGTGATATCTCACCTGGACCCATGTAGAAACTGCCTCTCTCTCTGTGCTGCCAACTGCGCAATTGTTGTTGTTCTCGATAGATCCTGGGGATCATGCGAAGTGCGGCCCTTCCCAGACCCAACTCAGAGATGGCATCTGCCTCGGTGGGTGCAGCCAACAGCGCAACAGTTGCCACTTTTTGTGAGTTCCTCGGGAGACTAGCGGATAAACGGCTTATCCAGACCCCAGCCAACCTCGCATCAATTGGTGCTGTCCCCGGGTACCTCAACGACTCCAGTGGACCTGGGCCCTCTTCGGTGAATATCATGGGGTAAGCAAGAGGTGCCGATACCGCTACTCCCCGGACCTCTCCTGGTGTGCGTTCTGACCAGGATTTCGAAGCGAATCCAGCGGTGGCGACGGGGGTCTCTCAGGAGGCCCCAAAAACATGGAAAACGAGGGAAAGGTAGGGGTAGGGGTACCTTTCCTCCTCTGACAGCAGCCCCCAAAACTATCCTGGGGTGCGTCCTGCCAAACAGGCCCAGACAAAAAGCAAGGCGATGCAGCATGATAACAACCACAACTACGAAATGCTATTGCTTCGCACCCCTCCCCCCAAACCTAAAGTTGAAGTGCCCACATGCTGTCCCTGGCCTTTGGCCTACTGCCCGAACCCGTCAACTTTGGGATTTGGGGGAAGGGGGTATACATTTTGGTCCAACGTGCTTTGGTAACACAAGGGCTTGGCACGACACGTGTGGACATTCCTAGTCCAGAGACCAACATCGAGGCATCCGAGGGGGATCCAGCCGTGGCAACGAACAGCCTCCCGGGAGCCAAGAGGCGGTCCGTCTCCCAGCCTCGACCTTCCAGCCTTGTCTTAGGTCGGGCATGTCCCCCTACAGGCGGATTTGGGACGAAAGATCAAAACTACGCAAAGCAGGTTCAAACGAAATGTTCAAACGAAATAGTCATACAATGCTAGAACATCGTGCCCAGACTTGAGGGACACGCCTGACTTAAGCCTTGCAGCCAGGTCCTCCACCCCACGGAGAGTATCTGTCTCGAGTTTGTATTGGTCTAACCCCGACGGTATGCCTCGATGCCGAGCGAGGTCGTGGTCAGGTCGCTTCGCGGTTCTGGCATCGCCACTGCTTCCTACTCCGACTCCTACTCCCTCTCCGTGGCACGGCATGGGAGCCACCCGTACCATCTTGTTGGCCGACTGTAGTCGACGCTGCTCGAAGCTCATCGACGCTCACCGACGCCACTGGAAGCTACATCGGCGCTGTCCCATTGATTCCGAAGCGCTACTGCGGCTACAGACGGACTCGAGACGGTATACAAGGCTCCCAGAATTTGCGAACGGACTGAGTTTCGAGACTTCCAGACAAGCCAATGATGAACTTCACCCGAGAGCAGCGCAGAGCCTGGGCAAAGAGAGAACGACGTAGAGTTAGGTCGGGCATGCCCCCCTACACCGAACTTTGCAGGACAAAGAGGCAATAGTCTACAAAATGCTCAACCATAGTAAAACATAGTATGAAAATCGTACCCAGACGATGTTTTGACTATTTCTGCATATTCCACCTGTAGAGGGACATGCCCGACTTAAGCCAATGAGCAGCCTCGCCCGAGAGCAGCGCAGAACCCGGGCACAGAGAGAGAGACGTGGAGACAGCACCTCGCGCGCCCTCCCCCTGCTGGAGGGGCGGGCTGCGCCCAAAAAACTCGTGCTGACCGAACCACAGTAGGGGCCGATCCACAAGAAACCTTTCACATGAAACCCAACCCTGAGATTCCAGGACGTCCATCGGTTTTTGGTGTTGGTGTGGGAACGTCACGCTCTCCATCGCAAAACCACCGAAACCCAAGAGACCCAGGCACCCTGGAGGCAAGCAGGGTGTTTCTTGGCATGGGGTCTCCTCTGTACTCCTACTCCATCGCTCCCTGCAACGGGGGGCGGGCCGCCAAAAATCTCAGGAAACCCTCGAAGAATCCGCAGAGAATCTTTGCAAGCGTGGGCAAGATAGCGGGACGTGATCCGGGCGGGGGGGAGAGGAGGGGGAGGGGAGGGAGAGGGCCGATCGCAGCCGTCATCGCCCAGACAAAAAAAGAAACAGGCTCCTACCCCTGCTCCTACTCCTACTCCCTCCCTCCCTCCCTCCTCGCTCCCTCTTCCTCGCTCACTCCCCTCCTCCTCCTCCCCAAAGTGCGGCGAAAAGACCCGCCTCTGGGGGGCCAGCTGCCCGAAGTGCAGGTACGGGGACAGGCCCGAGAGCGCGTCGACGTTGGGGTCGTTCCGGGAGGCGTCGAAGCCTCGACCGAGGGCCCAGAGCCAGGAGGGGAGGCTCGAGGATCGAGGAGGAGGGGGGGGATCGAGGATCGAGGAGGAGGGGAGGGATCCAGGAGAAGGAGGATACTTAGCGTGTCACTTCTGGCTGTTAAGGATGCCTCCGGCGACCCGCGGGTCGCCGGGCATAGCATTTAGATCAACATCCCCAGGGCAGACTGGCCCTGGGGGGGGGGGCAACGGCTGCAGGCATTCATGCAACCAGGAACCAGGAACCAGGAGGATCGAGAAGCGGGAAAGACCTTGGGCCTCCTCCTCCCCTCCCCCCCCTCCTCCTCCTCCTCCTCCGCCTCCTCCGCCTCCTCGTCCTAGGGCGTTCAGTCCGCATTGACATTGGCATCAGCCCCACAGGTGTGCATCGTCATCATCGTCGTCCTCTCTCCCATGTTTTTGTTCCTCCTACTCCATCCTCATCCGCCGAGAAAGACGTCCATAACACAGATCTTGGGACGTGTCATGCCCAGACCCCATCGCGTCGTGAAACAAATGATCACAAACGCTTTCGTTTGCAACTTTCGACCTCCTGCTGGGGCCCTCACCGGGCCCTGGGACCGTCAGATGACTCGTGATGAGACGGGGAAGGGGTCGAGACCTCTGGGGGCGCACACTGTAAACTAAATCACGACGCCGGGGGTCTGGAAGAGGTCAGGCAGAGGGGGATATATCCAACCTCTTGGAGGCTACCTAGACTGGCAACCTGCTGCAGACCCTTGGCCTGGCTGGACCTTCAATATTTTCATCTGTGCAACTGTAGGCATTGGGTGGAAGGCTTCAGTCGCATGAGCGCGGAGTAGAACATGAGGAGAAGATCTTTCGAGCCTGCAAGCGTAGACGACCTGGCGACTGAGATCCACTTCGGGCCCGCTGCGTGCGCATGGAAACCAGCTGGACCGACAAGGGGCACACGCTTGTCGGAAGAAGTGTGTAGAAACATGAAGTAGGAAGGCGGATGTAGTAGATTGGGTTCAGGCCAGCCCAGAGGATGTTAAAACACAGCCGAAGCACATCGATTCTTGAAGTAGGAAGGCACTTGAAGTAGGTTGGGTTCTGGGGATCCAAATATGCCTGCTCTCAACGACCGATGAGTAAACTAGTCGGTCCGGGCCGACGAAGATCGAACAAAGGCAACAGACGCCCGCACACGGCGGGCGGCTCGAGCAGAAAGCGAGGTGGTGAGGCGTAGCCGCGACAGCCAATCAGACCAGGCACTGCGAGCGACCTCTCAATTAGCCTGGCGAAAGACCCAAACATACGCAGTTGTGAATACCGCAATTGTGAATACCATCTTCGCCCACGCTCCCTATGTGGCCACGGCTTCCCACGGGAGCCCGACATGCTCAGGGACACGTTCGCGGCCGTCTTCCGGGCGCCGACGACGACGAGGACGGCGCCCCCCTGACCGAGGAGCAGAAGCAGGAGAGGGCTCTGAGAGACATGAGGGAAGCTGCCACTGGCGCCTTCGGTGGAGCTCCTATGGGGCCACGATCCTCGTGAGGGGTGTGCCGAAATGGCCCGAGGCCGCTAAGCGAACCCTGCCGCTGGGGCCTTCGGTGGAGCTCCCTATGGGGCCACGATCCTCGTGATGGGGTGTGCCAAACTGGCCCGAGGCCGCCATGCGAACCCTGCCACTGGCGCCTTCGGTGGAGCTCGGCCACGATCCTCGTCAGGGGTGTGCCGAAATGGCCCGAGGCCGCCATGCGAACCCTGCCACTGGGGCCTTCGGTGGAGCTCCCTATGGGGCCACGATCCTCGTGAGGGGTGTGCCGAAATGGCCCGAGGCCGCCATGCGAGTTCCGCCACTGGGACATTCGGTGGAGCTCCCTATGGGGCCACGATCCTCGTGAGGGGTGTGCCGAAATGGCCCGAGGCCGCCGTGCGAGTTCTGCCACTGGGACCTTAGGTGGAGCTCCCTATGGGGCCACGATCCTCGTGAGGGGTGTGCCGAAATGGCCTGAGGCCGCCATGCGAGTTCCGCCACTGGGACCTCAGGTGGAGCTCCCTATGGGGCCACGAAGCGTGTGAGGGGTGTGCCAAAATAGGGCGATGACGAAATGGATGATGATGGTGATGATGATGATGATGATGATGATGATGGTGATGATGATGATGATGATGGTGATGATGATGATGATGACGAAGCTGATGATGATGATGATGATGATGATGACGATGATGATGATGATGATGATGATGATGATGATGATGATGATGATGATGATGATGATTATGATGATGATGATGACGATTGTGATGATGATAATGATGACGAAGAAGAATATGAATATGAATATGAATATGAATATGAATATGAATATGAATATGAATATGATGATGATGATGATGATGATGATGATGATGATGATGATGATGGTGGGCAGAGGGAGGAGGGGGAGGAGGAGAGGAGGAGGAGGAGGAACGCGGGGCACCGCCTCTTCAAAACGAGGACCCAACACCACAGGATGGTTGGGAAAAACAGGAGATCGAAAAAGGCAAGGCTATCGCTCGGCTTATGCTGCTCCCATCGCACTTACTGACCGCATCCCAAACATAATTTTGAACACCCTGAAAAATGTCGAAGCAGTGTCGAACGAGTATCGCCTCTCAGGGCCTGACACGTGAAAACCCCAACATTTCGGTGCATCTTGGTGCTCGATGTTTTCTTTTCCTCGTGATCAAGGCTAAAGTCGGTTGGAACACCATAGCGCTATGCTGCTTCTCCAACGAGCAAGGCCCCTACTGGGGAGGAGGACAGAAGACGAGCGGCTTTGCCCCGTCACCAGGGGCCTCCTAGATGGGGTCCGAGTAGGTGGGGTCGGAGGATCGCGCCGCATCGCCGATGCATCGGCGGCGTCGGTGGTGCATCGGCGACGCCGGCGCGGCACACACCGGGCTCTACATCGAGCCGCACGACCCACCGACCCCTTCCAGTCGGACCCTTGTTCCGCTCCGTTCGAGCCATCCCTGCCTACTCCGTCGGCCAGCGACCGACGCTCTGGAGCCCCCCCCGTGGGGCAGACGCGCGCAGCCGAGGCCGGGGCGCTTCAGCCGCTCCGCCACGAACTCCTCCAGCTTTGCCCTGCCAGCCTTGCAAGGCCAAGCGTTAGATGCATGTGCATATACACACACGCGCGCCGAGTCCGTGTGGTGCCGACTTCGGCGTTGGTTCCTGATACCGCGGGGATCTTTCAACCTTGAACGACCGGCTGTTTCCCAAACGTCCGATGGTTCAACATCGACGGATTCTGGGTTGCCGACGCTGGCGGCAGGGTCGCCGCCAATCGACACGACGCGAACCTACCGTACACTCTCACCTCCACCGCCCAGAAACAAATACTAGCAGTAGCTAGATCTCTGAGAGTTAGGGCCATGCCAGACGACGCCACGCCTCCGCGGCGAACTGGAGCGCAGCGAGGCGCACGGGCGCCGTGGGAGGATACATCCAAAAGCAGAAACAGCCCAGCGCTGTGGTGGTGTACACATATCGAACCCTTGTGCAACCAAACTTGTAAGCGTTGTCTTATTATTCGGCGTTTCGACATTGGATGGGCGGGGGGGAAGGGCGGGGGTTTGGCTCCAGACCTCTGCTTGTTGCGACTGTTTGCAACCGTGCGTCCTCTGGGGGAGACTCCACCTGCTTGAAACAGGCGCCCAAAACAACCAAGATCTACTCCAGGGGGGGGTGCAAGGGCCCGCGCCGATCGGCAATCCAAGGAATAAGAAAACGATTACCTTATGTACACCACCACCACCACCACCGCGTTTATTTCCCATGGGCGCGAGGGGAGGGAGGGTCCAGGTCGTCGCTGGCGTCGGGGATACAACGGCAAGTTTCCCACAACAGCCAAGCTGCGCCAGAGCGGGTCGCGTGTTTGTCCCCGATCTTGGTGGTGATAGTTTATCGTGCTCGGAAGCCTTGCTCCCAGGCGTGATGCCAGCAACGGGCTGGACGGTGCGATCCACCTCCAAGGAGCTCTCTGCAGCGCCCCAGTCGACCGCCTTCGGCCACTCCGCCGGGGCCTGGGCGTGCTTCTCCAGCACGGGGAACTCACTGAGGTACACCTGCAGCGGCAGCATGATCTTCTTCCGGATCGTCCGCGCCGCATACTCCTGCTTGTCAGAAGCGGCCCACACTGGCACGACATTGTGAGCGTCCACCTGGACTTAGTGGGTCCTGGAAACGACAAGGCCGTTTCTTTACCGGTTCCGTTTTGCCGTTTTTTGTTTCCGGTTCCGACGCCTTTTTTTTACCGGTTCCGTCGCCGTTTTTTGACTGGTTCCGGCTCCTGTTCCAATCCTGGAGCCGTTTTTTTGCCGTTTCCGGTCGCCGTTTTTTTGCCGTTTCCATTTTCAAGGGACATGTTTTTGGACACGGTGATACAACGGCCCTGCCGTTTCCGGGGCCCACAAAGCACCTGGATGAGCGATATGCCCTTGTCGCCGCAGGCGCTCGCCACCTCGCTCGCCCACTGGGCCGGCACGCGCAGGGGCGACATGTCGCACACGACCGCCGTGGCGCCGAGCCTCTCGCAGAGCGGTGGCACGTGGTCGGCGGCCTTGCCCAGGTGCAGGTGGAAGGGTATGCCGCTGTCCCTCAGGCCCGCCTCCACCTCGGCATGCAGGGAGGCCCCCGGAGGCTCGAGGCGGGACTGGACCCCGGGGCCTCCCCGCCGGATGCTCCCGATCCTGCGTCGTTCCCTGGCGGCGCCGGGCCGTCAGGAGCCCGAAGACAGCGGAACAACCCCAGGACCTCGCCCCTTCTGGCAGATGCGTCTGCCGCTCCAAGACGTCCACGGCGGCTCGGCAGCGTCCATGGCCGCGCGGATCGACATCAGTCCCGATGAGCTCCGCCAACTACCAATTAGGTGGGGGCGCCCCGAGATGTGGTCCCCCCCGTGCGGCAGACACCTCTCGGAGCCCCTTGAGCATGAAGTCAAACTGGCGGATCGTCGCATCCAAGAACCTGTAGGTGGCGACATCCGAACCATGCCCCCCGCAACCTTCGATTCTCCCGAAACCCAGGAAGCCGGGGGTTGGATTAGGACTTCGCCACGTGTTCGATGACTTCTGAACCGTACCCCTTACCATCGCTCGGACGTCCATTCTCCCGGCACTGTTCGACTTCGTGCTTGACCTTTTGGCTCAATGACCCAGGATGCTCCTCGACTGTCCTCACCGAAAAAATCGCACGTCCGTGGGACGCTGAGACCCCCGCCACCCATCGAGGTACCTGAAACGTGTCTGGAAGCCCGAAGTGGGCACGGAACAAATGGGCACCATGCCCGACAACAAGCACTGTCCGAAAGCGACAGCGGCTGCTGTTGGGCAGGCGGCTTTTTTTGTCTTCAGTGTACCACGTTCGCGGCGGCGCGGACAGCACGCCCATCTTCAAAATGAACAAGATCTGCTGCTGGGCATCGCGCAGCGGAGGCCAGTCCACAAGAAACCTTCCACAAGAAACCCAACCCTGAGACCCCTGGACGTCCACTGATGTCTTTGCTGTGTGGGAACGCCACGCCTTCCGCAGCAGAGCCCTCGAGACCCCAGAAGCCCGGGGCAGCCCCTGGAGGCAGGCAGGCTGCCTCTCTGAGGGCACGGGGCCTCCGCTGTGCCCATCCTTTCCGCACCGCTTCCGATCGTCCCGAGCGCTGCTCGGCGAGGGGCGGGGCTCGGACTTCGCCGCCGCACCGGGGCACGAGGCAGAAGACCACGTGCACGGGGGCCCGGCGCCTCACGGCCAGCAGCCGGGCGTACACGAGGGCCCAGTTGTCCTCGCAGCGCTGGTCCCTCGACATCCTGAGGCGGGACGCGCGAGGACGTGCTGCACCGCCGTGACAGTAGTTTGACCCATTTATCTTGACACGGCGAATGAAGGCGAGAGCGTCGCGAGACTTACGATGGCTCCCCCCTCCCCTGTAGACTCCTACACCAAGACAAAGCGCAGCGGTGTCGCAGCTTCGACGGCAGAAACAGGCCTCCCACTGAGATTAATTGGTAGTAACTGATTATTTCAGGGGATTAATTATTCAGCTTATTTCTTGACGCGTGGAAATTTATTCCGCGCTGGCGCGAAGGAACTCCATTGGGAAAGGCAAATGAGCCCAAACTTTTGCCCCGCCGGAGTGGTCCTATATGTCCTCCTTGGAGGCGTGCGTGCGACCCGAACATGTAGTACAGTAGGGGCCCGACTACAAGAAACCCTCCACAAGAAACCCAACCCTGAGACCCCGGGGCGTGCGTCCACTGATTCTTGGTGTGGGAACGTCACGCTTTCCATAGTAAAACCATCGAAACCCAAGAAACCCAAGGCACCCTGGAGGCAAGCGGGGTGTTTCTTGGCATGCCTCCACGGTGTGTGCACACATTGTAGCACATCGCTTCCGGAAGGCTGTGGCCAGGAAGCGCCCGTCACTCCGCATGTAACATAAGATTTCTCGGTGCGCCCTTTGCCCCTGGGGGCGGGGGGGGGCGGCGGGGGCGACTCACACGTAGTATTAGTATGTTGGGGTGATCCTCCCGGCCTTGCTCTGAGGCTGCGCCCTCCCCCTTTCCTCCCCCTCAATGAGTAATTCAAGCTGCGCGCGGCCCGCTTAGCTTCGACCGGAAGAAGTGCGCTCTCGACCCGCGAATCAAAAACATGATGGACCCACGAACCCGGAAAGGGATATAGACATGTGCAGCATGGTCATGTTTTCACGATGCCCAACTGGGCGACACCTCACGAAACATCCCACGAGACACCCCGCGAAACATCCCACGAGACACCTCACGAAACACTCACGAAACATTCCACGAGACACCCCGTGAAACATTCCACGAGACACCCCACGAACAGGCAACCACTCAACCAGACACCCCACGAAACATTCCACGGGGGTGCGACTGGGTGTGGTCGTGCTGGGGTGTGGTCGTGCTGGGGTGTGGTCGTGCTGGGGGGTGTGGTCGTGCTGGGGGTGGTCGTGCTGGGGGGTGGTCGTGCTGGGGGGTGGTCGTGCTGGGGTGGTCGTGCTGGGGGTGGTCGTGCTGGGGCGTGGTCGTGCTGGGGCGTGGTCGTGCTGGGGCGTGGTCGTGCTGGGGTGTGGTCGTGCTGTGGTGAGGTCGTGCTGGGGTGTGGTCGTGCTGGGGTGTGGTCTTGCTGGGGTGGGGTCGTGCTGGGGTGGGGTCGTGCTGGGGTGTGGTCGTGCTGGGGTGTGGTCGTGCTGGGGTGGGGTCGTGCTGGGGTGTGGTCGTGCTGGGGTGTGGTCGTGCTGGGGTGTGGTCGTGCTGGGGTGTGGTCGTGCTAGGGTGGGGTCGTGCATTTCGCTCGAGACATCCTGCCAACATTCAAGGACATTCTAGAAAAACAAACGAATTAGTCGAGACATCCTGGAAATTCTTGCGCGCGGGACGCGGCACGCGCGAGACATCCTCGGAATTCCTGCGCGCGGGGCGCTTTTCCGCGTCGCGGTCGGCTCTGCAAAACCAGCGTTTCGCTCGAGACATCCTCAACAAATTCTGAAAACAAGCGTTTCGCTCGAGACATCCCCAACTCTGCAAAACCAGCGTTTCGCTCGAGACATCCTCAACAAATTCTGAAAACAAGCGTTTCGCTCGAGACATCCTCAAATCTTAATCCGCCGGCACCCTTCGACCTCGATACTTATAAGAAACAATACGCCAGCGCCCCTCAGTTGCGGCACCGGGGACAGGTTTACCTACTAAAAGAGAACCCTGGGCCTGCGCCCTTTCCGGGAAAAATAATATGTTGGGGTGACGCCGATCCTCAGGGCACGTGAAATGTACTTGAGGAATAAGCAGTGGCATAAACGTAAACTGTCGGAGACCAGCGCGGACCTCCGAAAATTTGTGCGCATGTCATCATATGTCCCCAAATCTACATCGGAAGTTGGGGGTGACAACGGAATGGCCCCAAGCGGGGAAATCGGTGTCGGCTCGTGCCGTGCGTGCGCGCCGGAGCTGTTCGAAGGTGACGATGTGCAGGCGTAGCAAGAGCCAAGTCGTACCAACAATGTCTTGTCTAGTTGCGCGGTTCCTCACTGTGGTGGTCCCAATACCATTCCGTGGTTGTCCCGCCATTGTCCCGCAATTGTCCCGTGGTTGTCATGTGGGCTGATGTCCCGTTGCTTATCCCGCAGTTGTCCCGTGGCTGTCACACGGGAAATGCAAATCGAGACCCAAATCGAAACGCACATCCAACGGCAGACAAAACTGCCACTCAAACTGAGAACCGTGCAATACGATATGCAGACGAACACACACACACACACCAGTCGTCAAATCGAAATGAAAGCCCATATGTAATCGAAATGCCAATCGACATGAACTGTACATTAATCACCCATCGGAATGCAAACTATAATTGGACACCCATCGAAATGAAGACTATAATGCAGCGCCTCCGGAAGGGTCCAAGACAGCGTTAGATGGCCGATCGGCACCTCAAGACAGGCGCAAAAAAACCCAAACGACCAAAAAAAACCCAGACAGCCCAAGGGAGCTCCAAGACGGCCCACGGGAGTCCCAAGATTACCCCACATGAGCCCAAGGAAAAACGAAACGAACGAAAGAGAGGAAGACGACTCAGACGAGCCGAGAACCCCCGACACGACGGGGAGACGCATGTCACATGTCGCGGCTCTCACAAGCCTCGGGACACGAGGTGTCACACGTTACAAACTCCTGTGCATCTCCCGAACATGTCGCCACCCAAGGTACCGGGCTGGCACGGCGGCGGGACAAGTCGCAGGCAGCTGGATAGGGTGGAGTATCTGGGGTGCAACTTACGGGGAACACCTTCGTCATGTTGTACAACAGATGGGCAACCTATACGGCGACGGCCCACCGCGCGCATCTCCGCACGCGGCGACGGCGACGCCCCGCCCGGGCGGAACCATACAATCGGCGATGACGACGAACCAGTCATCTCCGAAACATGTGTTTGCACGAGAACGCATGTTGCAACAACTTTCCAAATGAACAAACATCAAAACGATGATATGTCCAGAATGTGCATCCTCTCGGATTAAAAGCCGTCAAATCGATCGAGGAGGACAAGACTTCCGTGCTGCGAGAAGCGACCAACGGGCCGCTCTGAAAAGAGTCCTCCTCGAACACCAGAAAGACGGAAACAGGAGAGGGGCACTGGCATCGACATGCCATTCTGTCCTGACTTCCCGGAATTCTCTTCCCCGTGCCGTCCAGTAGACAACGGCCCCAGATTCACGGAGGGGCGCCTCGTTGAGCATCCGGCAGCGCCGCGCGTCTACGCCATCGACCTCTGGCGCGGCCATCTGCGGCATGTCCGCAGCTGGCAGCGGCCTGCTCTTGCTAAGAGGCACCAGAACGTTCAAACATAACGGCTAGACGTTCAGCACATCGCAGACGTTCAAAACTAGAAGCTGAAAGCTCAACAACAGCAGCTGAACGTTCCAAAACAGCGACTCGTATTGAACGAATAGCTAAACGTTCAAAACCTGACCGGACAAGAACGGGAAGCGCCGCCTTTGCCCACGGTGCTCGAACGAAGAAGAATATCAATAATAACAATGACGAAACGCAGAACAATAAGAGTACTAAGTATAGGAATACCAATAACAATACCAAGCATGTTAGTACGAAGGAAAAGAAGAAGAGAAGGAAGACGAGAACGACTATGAGGCGGCAGACGATCATGACGGGGTGGAGGACGAGAACGCAGACGAGGGGGAGCAGAAGGGAGGACGAGGACGTTCCAGAGCCCCAACCAGTGGAAAACACGACATGCTCTGATAGATATTCTTGCCTTCGACGCGACCTCCGGCGTCTTCGACCAGGGGCTCAATAGGGTGAGGGCTTCGCGAGCGGACTAATATGAACACGGCTGAGAAGTTGCCCTCGCGCCCTTCCTTGGAGCCCTGTTCCGCGTCTTCACCGTGCACGGGGCCAACAGTTCGAAAAGGCTCCCCAGTCTGCCTGGAGATCTTCCGAAGGGCCCCAAAGATGAATCCGAGGGGGTGTTCGAGACACGGACGTGGCACCGCGTGTCATGACGGGCCCGCCCAAAAGAAGCCCGCGTACCAGGAAGGCTTGAGCCCAAGGATCCCCGCGAGCCTTCGGCGATGCGGCTGGCATCCGCCAGCTCCGGGAGAGAAGAGAAGAGAGGGAGCGAGAGAAAGAGAGACAGCGAGGAAGAGAGAGAGAGAGAGAGAGAGAGCGGATGGGGGAAGAGGAGAGAGAGAGGGAGAGAGAGAGGGAGAGAGAGAGGAGAAAGAGAGGGAGAAAGAGAGAGAGAGAGAACAACAAAAAACGGAACGTGTGAGAGGAGAGAGAGAGAGAGAGGGAGGGAGGGATGGAAAGAGAGAGAGAGAGAGAAACAAAAAAAAGAGGGAAAGAGAGGAAGTACGAGAGAGGCGACGTGCAAGAGCAGCCGCCGACCCAAGAAACATGGAGGTGCCATTGTGCTGGTCCTCCGCTGGACCTCGTGTGTATGTTCGTGAGCCGTTAAGGGCTCTTCCGGGCCCTCTAGAAAGCCTTGTTGAGGCTCGTTGGGAGAGGGGCCATTTGCCCGTCGTCGTCCTCGTCCTCGTCGTCGTCGTCGTAACCGTCGTGGTCGTCGTCGTCGTCGTCTCACGTGGGCCGTCGTTTCCCGAGGGAGCCCCAGGACGGTACAAGAGTACCCCAAGGTAACCTCAAGACTGGCGATATTACGTCAATGCCCCCCCCTGAAATAACACAAGTCTCGTAGGCGGCGCTTTGGATCCTCTTGGGGCCTCTTTTGGACCTCTTGAGGCCTCCTGGGGGCCTCTTGGAGCAGAAAGCTCGAATTGTCGATTCGTGTCCCCCTTCTCTGGCCAGTCGTGGGGCCGTTTTGGGGCCTTCTTGGGCCGTCTTGGGGCCCTCTCGGGCCGTCTTGTGGCCCTCTTGGGCCGTCTTGGGGCCCTCGTGCAGGCCTCTTTGGCCACCTTAGGGCAATCGTGGGGACCTCTTGGGTCGTCTTGGGACGTGGGAAGCTCGAAAAGGCGATCACCGCCAAAACATTAAAAACTATAAAGGCAATCGATTTGTTTTGCCTCTCGGGGCCCTCTTGGGAAAGCCTTGGGGCTGCCTTGGGCATCTAGAAAGCTTCTTGAACCCGTCTAACGCTCTGGGGCCGTCTCAGGGCTATCTTGGGTCTCTATTGTGCCGTCTCGGGGTTGCTTGGGGTGATCTGTCGCCGTCTTGGAGGCCTCTCAAGCCGTCTTGGGCACAAAACGGCATTTTTTCCGGAACCCTGACCAGACAAGGACGGGAAGCGTCGCTTGTGTTTGTGAAACTTGTCAGGGATTACCCTCTTGAGAACGCCAAATCAACTCGGAGACGAAACACAAACGACCAACACAACGGCTAACAATTCATTACGTTGGGCTGCCGTGCTCCTGTAATCTGCCGTGTTCCTGTGGTCTGCCGTGCTCATGCGGTCCGCCGTGCTGCTAAGTTCTGCCTTTCTATTGTGGTCTGCCGTGCTGTGGGCTGTGGGCTGCGGGGCCTATGAAGGCACAAGGAAGCCCGAGGCCCACGGAGCCCATTGGCCCCAGGGCCTCAAGGGCCAGCCCTGGGGGCCCCGAAGGAGCCCCGGCAGGGGAGGGCGCGAAGCGCCAAACGCGCGAAGCGCACGATTTCTAAGAAATCAGGAAGGCAGCAGGGGCAGGGCCGGGCACGTCCGCCCAGCAAGCCCCCCGCTGCAGGTGCGCCATGGGCAGAAGAGCTGCCTCACGCACAGAGAGGAAAAGGGTGACGAGGGGCGGATACAACAAAGGAAGAAGATGATGCTGCAACCCTACCCCTCGTCACCAACGGCGCGGCGGCGCCTCATGCGCCTGCCATCGCTCGCCGTCTCAGCCGCGGCTGGCCATTCACCGCTTCTACGTCGCCTTCTGCGCCCAACATGCCACGGCACCGAAGGCGCTCGGAGCGCTCTGAGCGGGCCAATGGGCGGAGGCTGCCCTTCCCACTGCAGCTCGGCCAGCCACGTCCTCAGGCACACATAGTCATAACGCCGCATGCAGTCCGACACGATCCTCTGCGACCGCGTCAGCGTGCGGCGCCACCTGAAGTAGGCACGCCTCGCAGGCATGCCAGTCCCCCAGGCTCGCTCGCAGATCTCCTCGGCCAACTCTTCGGCCGTCCTCCCACGCGCCCGCAGCCTGGTGGCGAAGCGCGGCTGGGACAGGATCTGCGCGACGTAGCCGACGCAGTGGTCCATCCACTCGCTGTAGCATTCCAACGTCACGCCGACCTCGGGAGCCTGGGTCCAGTGGCGCGCCCAGCCAGCGACCTGCAGCTCAAGCCTGGGCGCGACGCTGCGCCTCGGCTGCTCTGGCTCAGGCCGAGCCACCGCAGAGCCAGGGCTTCGCTCCTTGAGCTCGGGCGCCGCGCCTGTGCGCCCGTCAAGCCTCACGGTCGCCCCGCAGTGGGTGCACGCCATCCGCACCTGATCGGCTGCGCCGACTCCGCTCTTGGCGAGGGCCACCCCCTGCCAGATGAGGGAGGCTACCTCCCAGCAAGAGAGCTCCCTCTCCATCTCCATCGTGCCGAAGAGCCCGCGCCTGGCCACCGCGCTGGCGCGGTGTAGCTCCGCAACTGCCTTGGCCCAGCGTACGGCATGACCGCTGCCGCGGAGGTAAGCTCCCATGGCCTTGCCAACCAGCACGTCCCTGGCGATGCAGTGAGTAGCAGCCCTGGTCACCTTGAGCGTGTGAACGACCAGCGGGGCGTAGATCCCCTCCCCGAGAAGGGCATTGGGCAGAAGCCACGTGCCAGACGTCGAGGGGGGCGCCGCCCTCGCCAAGGTACATCGCCTCCGAGGGCCACAGGACGTGTCCCCGTGCCGCCACTGCCATCCCAACACCTCGAGGGACACATCCTCCATGTTGAAGTAGGCAATGAGGACCCACGGGATGTCGGCAGAGAAGCCCGTCACCTCCACACAGCTGGGGCGGTGCCGCAAGGCCGAGGGCAGCGAGGACGCCGACTCGTCGGCCTGCAAGCCGTCTCGCACCAGGATCGCCGCCCCGTCTGAGGTCGCCTGGGGCGCCTGCCTGTCCGACAGCTCTGCCTCGGGGGGGAAGGCAGCGTCTCCCAGGCCGCGGCCCTTAGCCGCCCTCATGGGCGGGCGCTCATGCGGGAGCCTCTTCTCCTGGAGCACCACCACGTCGGGCCAGTAGCTGCACGTCTTGAAGAAACCTTCAATGCCCCTAATACACCTGCTCCACGCGTGGCCGTTGCAGCCGAGCAGGACGGGGCCAGCTCTGAGCTGTTGGCCTCCTGCCCCGTCACACATCGGCGCCTTGCCGATGACGGCTGCCACGTGGACCGCGCGTTGGCCATCGCCCGACACTGGGCACGCCGCGCCCCTGGTCGCGGGACCCTCCGCCCCCACCAGGACTGGAGGGGGGACCTGGCCCCGCGTTCCAGCGCCCCTCATCGGCGTCGGCGGGCGACTGGCCAGCACGGGAGGTGACCGCCGCTGAGGAGGTGGCCGCCCATCGACTCCTCTGGTTGCCAGCGGGGGGCGCCCCTGCCCATCACCATCGGGGCTGCGAGCTGCGACGTCGTGGGGCTGCGGGCCCGCATGGTGCTGCTGAGCCGCAGCACTGGGCAGGCGCACATGCGCTAGCCTCGTCTCCTGCCGCACCACCACGTCGAGCCAGTAGTAGCACGTCTTGGAGAAGGCCTCTATGACCTCAATGCTCCTGTTACACGTGTTGCCATTGCAGCCGAGGAGGACAAGGCCAGCTCGTAGCTGCTGGCCTCCCCTCCTGACCACCATCGGCGCCTTGCCCGTGACGGCTGCCACGCGGACTGCACTCTGCCCAGCGCACGACACAGAGGACGCCGTGCCCCTGGTCGCGGGAACCTCCGCCCCCACCAGGACTGGAGGGGGGACCTGGCCCCACGCTCCAGCGCTCCTCAACGGCGAGGGCGGGCCGCTGGCCTGCGCGGGAGGTGGCCACCGCTGAGGAGGAGGCCGTCCCTCGACCCCTCCGGTTGCCGGCGGGGGGTGTCCCTGCCCATCACCAACGGGGCCGAGAGCTGCGACGTCATGGGGCTGAATCCCACCGCTCACGGCCCCTGACTGGCCGTCGGGGGGCCACCTCGGTGTTCCCGACTGCGCCAGTTGGCTACTTCGGGCAGGGGTGCACGGCGCCGCCTGCCGCTTGCGATGGCCGCGGGCGCGCCAGCAGCCACCACGGCGCCTCCTCCACCTGTCCCAGCAGCTGGGCCCTCGCACGTCCTGAAGGAAGGGCGCACCGCTGTCCCAGGCGCCGATGTTGGCGGTGGC